ATTGATTCTAATGCAAAATTGGTAACATTGGCCCTGGTTTTACAAAACGGAGGACAGGTTTTCTACTTAAAATTGCTTTTTTGCAACACTTGCTGACTATTCAGTTTATGGTATCAGCTTCTTTGTGTGACAATCCCCAACAACCCCCTCCCCCACCACCATCCTACAAAAATGATAGGACAAGAGGAAAAGCCTGTTAAAAAAGGTTTTATATATAGAAGCATAGAATACAAAAGCAAAGCAAAATGCCGGCTTTGTACACATCATTGGTTACACCGCAAATGGAGAACCACGTTCAGTTTTGGGCACTTTCATCTCTTGAGTCAACTGATTGTAAAACTTAGAACATATTCCAGATCATATGATCCCCCTGGAGAACTGACATCTCCGAGACCCCACCCACCCAACACCGAGACCATCTGAAAACCTTACTAAAATTTCCTTTTGTGCCTGTGTAAAGGGAAGAAGCCAAAACCAGAACTCAGTGTTCGTCGACCTTACCATGGAGTAGACCAACAGGCTTTGGATTGGACACTTCCTTCTGTGTGTGTCTGCGTCTCTCTCTCTCTCTCTGTATTTGAAAAGAGCTGAGAGTTTATACCAGTGTTCTAGCCAACAATCTCCTGAATAAAATGAGTCCCTCACACTATCTAACTAACTAGCAGAGAGACAGACTTCCAATCAATCCAGTCTGAATTTGAACACAGGTTCCAGTGAAGAAAGGTTCTGATTCATTACACCACCCAGACCTTGATAAGTATAACCTGATTATTATTTGCAAATACCATGTTTCAGGAGGCTTCATTTGTGATGCAGGCAGGTTTTCAATTTAGCCATTCAATTATTGGTCAGGCAGGCACATAAAAATGAATACAGGTGACATATATATTAGCTTTCTGAGAGTCTGTTGGAGAGAAGAGCTGGTTTGCCATTTCCATCTGGACATTGCCTCCTTTTTTTTCTTGGTTGGTTAGGTCACAGCTTCACAGGATTATGGCTAATGTACGTACAATCAGATATTCCATACAAGGCTTGGAGAAGCCTGGAACCAAATAATCACACTTTGACTGCAACCAAATCCATCTGTCTGATCCAATGCCAGCAGATTTCTTTATTGTCAAGGATTTTAGATCCCAGAAATTAATTTAGTAGAAATATTTTATTAAGGGAATAAAATAAAAAGTATTTCATTTAGGAAATACTTGGATGTTAAACCTTCTGAGCCATCAATCATTCTTTGCTGCAACTCAGCTGCTCCATTTGGATAACTTTCATAAGTGAATTTGCTTTATTATTGAGGATTAAGTTCCTTTGTTTTCCCTTTCCTGAAAGTGATCATTCATGTTCAAGTTTGGATCCAAGATTACGCAAGATTTGCTTAAAGTAAAGCAGGCCTTTCAACCTTTAAGTATTTCATCTCATCATTCCAGAATCATCCTCTCATCACAACATCAAGCTGCTTTCTTAAAAAATGATTCTCATGTCCTGGCCTGCCTGAGAACCTATCGATTACTCTCTGGGTAAAGAAAAACTTCCTAGTATCTATTCCTAAATCACCTTTTCCATCAGTAACCCTATGTCCACTTGTTCTACTGCCTTAGAGCATACTATTGTTCTGGGTTTACTTCTTCAACCCCATCTAACATTTTATATGCCTACATAAGGTGACAGAAGATCACAAGCTGTCTAATCGTTGCTCAAAGCTCATTCTGATCAGAACTTCTGCTGTGTTCTAGGTGCAGCCTGACAGAGCTCTGTATAGCTTGAGTACGACATCTGGGAATCTAAAATCAATTGAATTCAGCAATATAGCTCAGCATGTTGTTTGCCTTGTTTATTTCATTGCTGCATTACACTGTTGACATGGTGATTAATTAAATAACATCCTTAGATCTCTTTCAGTTTCCCCCTTGGCAAGTTCTTTCTATCCATGGAGTATTCTTACCTTGTAGTAGGTAGTACCTTGAATTTATCTCTATTGAACTTCAGATGCCAGTTGTCAGCTCATGTGCATACCCTATTAAGGTCTCTTTATAGGGCCTTTGCTGCTACCTCTGTCAGTTCACCCCAACTTGGTGTCACCTGCAAAATTAACTATCTTACACTGGTCATTAATATATACAAGGAAGTACAATCCACTGAGACATTCCACTTAAAACCTTCTCCCATTTTGACCTAGTTGCACCCCCCACCAAAAAAAAAGACCCTGAACTTCCTTCCCTTCAGCCAATTCTAATTCCATGTCCAACTTCCCGTACCTTTTCCAAATACTTATTCCACAAGTGTGATCTTAAAAGGTAAATATAAGGAGAGTTCGGCCAAGTCCAATCCTGTCCTTTTCCGACATTCACTTGGGTGCATGCTTTCCGGCAAGAATAGTTTCCCGGATCCCTTAGTTTGTATACACACTAGCCAGCAGGAAACTAATCCATATAAACTATCATGGTCTCAGTTTTTGATCTTCACTGAGCTGACTGAGCTCATTAAATACACGTGGACTTGGTGAATTGGTTGCATTCTTCAATTACACACCAAGTTCCAATTACACTTATACTGAAGCTCCAATGACCTCATATGAAGACAACTCATGTACCATATGTAATGAGAGAATGACATCTCTCTAAGCACTATTTCGACTGATCGAACGAGAAAATTACTTCTGAGACCTTTACGTATTCCCATGTGAATGCCTATGTATGTCATGTGAATCTAGAACACCATAACAACAACAACAAGATTTCATTTATAGAGCGCCTTTCACGTCGGGAGGACGTCCCAAGGCGCTGGACAGTTGGGTCGGGACCCGAGCCGGGGGGAAATGGTCAGGGTGAGGGGAGGGAAGGGAGGGAGCGAGGAGGGGGTAAAGAGTCGAGAGGGGAGCTGAAGGCACGGTCAAAGAGAAAGGTCTTGAGACCGGCCTTGAAGGAGAAAAGGGAGAAAGCAAGGTGAAGGCACTGGGGGATGGAGTTCCAGAGCTCAGATAACCATGCTCAGATACACCTCCATCTTACCGGCAATATAAATCACTGGCTGTGGCAGTATATTTTTAAACATTAAATCATTAAATTGTATGCACTGCCTGAAAGGATGGTGGAAGCAGATTCAATAATAACTTTCAAACCAGAATTGGATATTTACTTGAAAAGAAAAATGTTGCAAGACTATGGGGAAAGATTGGTGGAGTGGATCTAATTGGTAGCTCTTTCAAAGAGACAGCAGGCGCACAATAATAATAATAATCCTTGCATTTGATATACAATGAGCCGAAAGGCCTCCTTCTGTGCTGTAGGTTTCTATGATTCTATGAAATACTGTGGTGCTAAAAATTGGTGCCTGACCAGGGGATGAATTAAGATCACTTAAGTATAGGAAATTTGTTGAATATCGGTAGTACTCGATAATTTCTGCAAGGAGGTTAGTCTTCCCCATTTACTCCGCCATACTAGGATCAATTTGATGTGATATTAATTGTGCTCAACTTGTTTATGGTCACTGTACTATAACAAGGAAATTAAATATTAAATAAATAATGATCCTTACTTTGATATAGCGTCTTTCACGTCAGCAGGAAATCTCAAAGTGCTTCCCAGGACATACTGTAAAGTGGAGTGACTAATTTGTATATTGCCTCTTACAAGTATAGAGTAGCAAAAAGGGTAACAAATCTCAGGTATTGATTTTATGCAGAAAAGGCATTAAGTTAGATTTGCAGAGAGTAGTCAATAACTGGGGTGGGTTTCCAAGAAATGTGGTTGAGATCAGCTTACACAGAACTACAAAGGATATTATACCACAGAAACAGGCGATTTGGCCTAACTAGTGTGGGTGAGAGTTTATACTCTACTTGATCATCTATCCTTGAAACTTTGATAAGTGGACAGCAGGGTGTGTAGTCTTCAAGGAAAGGATTAACTGGGCCAAAGGGCCTCTCCATTCAAATCTTTCTTGTGATCTTGCTCTATTAGGGAAGGAGAAACTTTTAAGATAACCCAACAGAATTGTTTCTATTATAAAGGGGATTGATTTAAATTGATCCATACAAATTGTTCACATTGACAAAGGGTTCGAAAACTCGGAGGCATAATTTTTAGAAATGTGAGTATATCAGGAATTCAAGCAGAAATATGTTGAGAAAAATGATTATTATTACATATATATATACATAAAACAAGATGCTGGGAAGGTCATTGAAGCATAAAGTATAAATTAGTTTCAAAGACGGCTTGAAAGATACCCTGCTGATTCGCCCTGGAGTGAGTTGGTGATATTCCAGTAATATCATGCAACAGGAAGAAGGGATTTTAAATAAATATACAGAATATACTGTAAAGTGAATTAACTTTACGTTTTTGGATGAAACACGGAAGGCAATTGCGCACAGCAGCGTCCCACAAACAGTTGTGGATTGAGTGACCAATTTATTATTATTATTTTTTGAAGCAATTATTACCCCCGGAAAAGATGGTGATAGCACTGGAAACCGCCGAAAAAACTGTTTCGTGCCTGCTTTATCAGCAAGAGGAGTCAAAAAACGAGAAAATTAATCAACTGGGGGTCTAAAGCTCAACTGACATTTCAACTGACATTCCTGAGTGAAGAAATCCAGAAATAAATCACATCAAATCAGGGGAACTCAATCTAGCACAATTTACATTTTTAGGGAGAATTCCTGTAAGATACCACGACATTCATGGGTTACAGGAAGGAATGCTGACTTGGATTCCATAATTATACCAAGGATGGACATTAAGGACAGTGCAGAGGAAATCCTATTATAAACAAGTGCAATTGGCACTTGATTAACCCCAGCAGCGCAATATTTAGGGAAATAGAACGCATGGATAACAGTGATACAGGTAAGAAAACACTTGTGTTAGAAAATCTTTTCTATCAGCTTTCAGAGACATGGATTAACCATCACCAGAGATTGTAAGGATTCCCATTCATGGTCACTGACCAATGACCTTTGGTGGAAGATATGCATGCAAGGATCTCAGCTGAGGGCAGACTTAGGATGTGTCTATCCATCCCATGTAATGAAGTCTAACCACACATGGTCAGCTCGCCTATGATGAATGATCATTTGGGTGAGGTACCGGAAGATGTCTGGCAGAGCCAAACTGCTGGGCTTTCAGGAGAAGAAGTGAGGAAAATGGGCAGCAAAGAGCAATTTCAAGAAAATGCAATAAGCATTGCACGAGAAATTCAATCAAAAGACATAAGAATCTTTAATTTGCCACAAACCTTGATTGATAAAATAGGTTTCCATATACCAAAATAGTATTGAGTACAGTCACAAAAGAGTCACTTGGTTAAAGTTGTCCATTGTTTCTTTTAGTATCTGCTGAATATGATATATAGAATTGGCAGAGTGTCTAACACTGAATGAAGGATAGTGGTTCAGGTTCCATGATGGAAGAGAGCTCATAGAAATAAAGAGATCAGTGAAAATGCAACAACATCAACAACTTGTATTTATATAGCACCCTTCATATGGGATAGCATCTCAGAGTGCTGAAACATTCATTGCAAACACGTTAATGGGTAGAACAAAAGCAAACAATAAACAATTGTGATCTTTCCACAACTCTCCTGGTTTGGCTTCTCATCTACCAGGCTAGTTCAAGGAATGCAGGCTTCCAGCACACGTAATGCTTGGAGTCAAGCAGATCACTTGACTGTACTGATCCAGCAATGCATAATCACATCTGCCAAACTCATTGTGGGAATGTCTGCTCTGCAATTCACCTGCAGCCAAAAGTATATAAAAGATAGCTGGCTCAATAAAAAATACATGCACCTCGAAGGAGGAAAAAACATTCATTACAAAAGAATCAAGAGCACAATTGCGAAAAAGATCAAAAAAAGTTTCTGATGTATACAAATGTGGAAATCCAGGAAAAGGTGAACAACCTGTTTCATCCAGGGTTATATTGGAAACCCCCAAAAAGTAACAATAAATATTTACATGGATATAAAGTCGCTACGAAATTTCATTTGTACATTAGATGGAATTAGAGAATTAATCCACATTTACAGTGATGTTTTGTTTTGATCAAAGCCAAAGTCACCATAAATTTCACAAAAAAGGTCATGCAGTTAAGGCACTTCTTGTTATGTACAGAACACAATAATAATTAAAAAGAACTTTTAAAAAAATTATATATAATATATATGTATATATCTACATATAGTTGCTTCATAATTACCCCTTAAGGTTAAGAGCAACGCTGTGATGTTGATTTATAATACAGTGTCCATGATTACTGTTTCAGGCCAGTTAAAGGGTCCCAGGCATCCTTTTGTTCACCCATCAGCTTCTGATGTCTTCTGTGCCAATATTCTAACTATTTTATTTTCCTTCGTAATCTGGTCATGTTGTCAATCAACTGGTTCAGATCGGTGGATGCCATGCAAACAAAATCATCTTCACGAAGTTCTGAATGTTCTTAGATTCAGAGCTGTTTAACACAAAATTCTACATTTTAACAGGAATTACCAATCCAAGAACAACAACTTCAGCAAGGATGAAGCGAAACCAGACAAACAAATTCAGGCATCACAGACTGGTAAAAGTTTCGAAGAAGATGCTTCTACAAGTGACTATCCTTACTCAGGGCTTGAATTTAATTGCTAGACAAGCAGTAGAAAGTTGATACCATTATTCTTTCAGCAGTTCTTTCGCGATTCCCATCTCTGTAAGCCAACAGGCTCTGTATCATTGCAGCTCACGGGAGTAAGTCACTGCGTGACATTCTACTGTCAATCACAGGATTTACTATTTGTGACTCCCGTTGTTTTTGTTTGCAAATCCTTGTTCTAAATTTTGCATTTGCTACTCTTCAGAGGCCTAAGACAGTGGACGTGGGGTCATAGCATGCGAGTTTAAGAGAGATTTAGGCTAATAATGGGCAAAGGGGTGTGGATGGGCCAGAGTAGACAGAAAATGAATGGGGCAAGAGTGACAGGGAAGAGCGTTCAAAAAGAAGTGAAGGATAAGAAGTGGCTCCACTCTTCTTAATTATTGCAGAAGATGCCAACCTTACTGGAGACAGCATCCCTGTGAGGTGACATCATTCTACATCAGATGGATCCGAATTCATACAATGGTAAAATATATATTATATATAGAAAATGTCACCACAGTGGTTTAGACCCGTTTTTAAAAAAAATCCACCTACAATATGTGCCTCTACAATATCCAATGCAAAAACTCAAGCCCTGTGTAAATCTGTATTCACATCAGCTATTGAAGAAGATTGGTGCATGCCACAAAATAGACTGAGCCACATTTGTTCGTGTCAACAGAACGTTAGCATTTCAGACCCATCGTTAAATACTCTTTTTATTCAAAAAAGAGATCTTGATACTTTAAGGTTAGTGAATGTAAAAACAAAACCCTGCTGGTTATTTCACAGAGATATTGAGAGAAAGATCAGTTCAGCTTCAACCAGAGAGCCCATTCACCTTGATAAACACAACCTTGTTAATTGTTACAGAGAAGTAAACACCCACAAACAAGCTTGTGATTAATCACACTGTTTAAAACATGCTGACAGTCTCCGTTATTCTCCCGTTTGGGTTATTGTCCAGTAAATCACCACTTAGATCTGCTTTAGTTCAACATTTATTAGTTTCATTACTATTCAACTGATAAAAGCCAATTACTTACTGAACTAACTGGGTCAAACGCTTGCAAGTCAAACCAGTGTTGAGAGGCCTATTGTTACATGTGAGGCTTTCCTCTGCCAAGACAGTGAATAAACCAAATTAAAACCACAAAAAAAATCTCCCGTTCCAGGAGAAGCTGACTTACACCAGGACATATATCCTTGAGCCTGTAAGGTGAGTGTGTTGACCTGATGTTCAGCCCCTTGGGACATCCTCCCAACATGAAAGGGGCTTTCCAAATATAATTTTATATTGTATTATTCAAAGTGATACTTTCAATACGTCTGACTGAATTTTTCAAGATGTTTAAGGGCTTTATCCAGGGGCACAAAGACCAATGAGAGTGCCCCTTACTGACTAATATCAATTAAATCAACACTCAACAGGGATTGAACTTAAACCTTTCACACTATGTTTTTTGGTAAGCCGGGTGTCTGACACACACGGAAACCCATCACCATGCTTAAGAGTATCCAAACCAAACTGAGAATTCCATGCATCACACCTACACATGGAAATCCCAGAGATAAATTGTTGGAAGCTAATGTACACTCTCTCCATGGAGGGACGCCTCTCACTTACCTAATTCCGGAAAGTATTAATCATAGGTTGGCAAGAGCAAAGGCTTGGGACCGCAGAGTGTGTATTGGGATACTGCTGGAGTCTAACCAGCCAAAACCACATAGCTTGCCATTGATATTGCTGTCGGGCAAGCTTTCCTGCTGCTTGTCCAGCTAGGGCCACCCTACCCATTAGACTTGCAGTGTTAACAGGAGCAGAGTGGGTAAATCCCTACCCCCAGTGACTGATCTGCCCTTCCAGGTCTGCCGATGAGCCAGGCTGGCTGTGCTGTCATCAGCAATGCCCTGGACCTGCCTGGCTCAGTAACTGGACTACCATGACCGCCACAGAGGGCTGGCTCCATGCCGACATTCTGCTGCCAAGCACATCACCTTGGAGCCAGTTCCACTCCAAGGAGACCCCCCCCGCTCAGATACACGCCAAAGGCGCATCTTCTTCAGGTCAGAAGTTGAGCAACCCTTTTTTTATAAGTATTTTTTATTTAGTAACAAAGCAAAATAAATATTCCATAGTAAATACAACGCCTCCTCAATATTCAGATACAAACTTTGAATTTGACTGTTTGCAGACTTGTTAACATTTTCTTGTTTTAGTTCTCTATATATACATTGCCCCACATAATCATGTTTATAGTACACAAAGCAAGTACTTACTGCTGTAATATACTGGTTCTTCAGTGGTTTAGGTGTCTGGGTCCTTGGGGAAAGACTGAAGGATGTGTAATGACAATCTGTCTTAGTGTCAGCATTGGAAGCGTCATCAGAAAATGTTTCATTGGGAAGCTGGGACATGCATGTCTGAGCTGAGTTGCTGAATCCACTGATGCTCTCCCCTGAAGTACATTGAGATGAAGTCTCTGAACTTTCTGTAACTGGAACACACAAAAAAGGGAATTCCTTTAATGCAGGATTACTCTGAAAAGAACCATTCCTGTAGAGGTTTTTTGTTCTCAATTGCATTTTATTCCTCTTCAATCTTCTTCCACCCCCAGCTCGGTTGCCAACCAGCAGCGACAACCACCTAATGTGAAAGGTGCTATATTGTATTGAATTGATATCCCCAGTGGTTGAATAGACTCCCAACAGTCAATGTTAATAATAATAATCATTTGATATTGGGCCTTATCATGTTGAAAATGTTGAAATATCTCAAAACACTTTTTTTGGGGGGAAATTGCTGGGCAGGACTCCCCGAGAAACTGCCTTCTCTTTCAAATAATACAATGAGATCTTTAACGCCCACCAGGACAGGCAGACAGGACCTTGGTTTAATGCCTCATTCCAAAGTTGGCACCTCTGACAATGCAGCACATCTCTAGCACTGCACTGGAGTGTCAACAAGGACTATGTGAGTTCTGAATCTCAACGTGGGATTGAGCCCACAAATCTTCTGACACAGAAGCAACTGAGCCAGGGTGATTCAAGACTGTGATTTAGAGCACCGAGAGAAGTGGTTATCTAAATGAGGGAAAGTGTATAATTGACTTTCCTCATGTTCTGAACGAGGTCAATGGTCTGATGAAAACTGTTTCCCGTGGGCTGGCTGGCAGTTCTTACTTACTTAAAACTTTGCACCAACATTTCAAAACAGAATTGCTTTGTCAGCAGATCAATGTTTTTTACCATTTTTTTCAAATTGTGGTGTTGGTGGATGATCCAGGAGTCACTCCAGAAGTAAGATGTGTAGGAGTGGAGTTGTCACAGCTTGGCATCACGTACTTCCGGTTCAGGAAAGAGTTCCCATTTGTACCACATTCCCATTTAAAAATGCTACATTTTATTCCCATAATTTAATACACTTATTTTCATAAAGGAAATGTTCCTCCAATGTCGAGATCTGACTGAATAAGTGCAGGCCTACCCAATATACCAGTGCCTGAATCGCAATTCATAACACATCAGAAAACAGAGCAAAGCGTGCACTAAATATTTGAGAGATTCAACCCATGAAGAGGACCTAGGCTTTCAAGACTTACTCATGGAAGGTTGGCTTCCAGTTTCTTGCTCCAGTTCATCTTCTTCAATGCAAGTCCCAATGTCATAGGACCAGTGGTTATAAGGTGTCCCATGTGGTCCTACATATGGTGAATTTGAATGCATGTGAAGATTGAGAGTTCCCAGTATGGAAGAGGATGACTGGCTGCTGGAGGAAGATGTGCTGCTGTTGGAGATGGTGGAATGGGGCCTTTTAAAGGGTACTGAGTGGTCAAACGAGGACACTGCTATTGATGCTCGTGTCCTGGATTCTAGAAAATATAAACACAGTGAAAATAATTCAAGTGAAAATGTCACACATATCATGAGAGACAACAAAAAAGTACGGATTAATTAGATTCCTTTTCAGGACCCTTCAGTCTTAATTTTATACGAATGGCTCAGCGAGAGTCTAATTCAGATATTGAATAACCTTTTCTCTCACCTACATGGTTGAAAATTAAAGTGTTTAAATGTTACCGCATTTAATTTGTTATTTGCTTGTGCAATCTCTATATCTCAAAACATGCATCGAAAGATTGCACCATTAAATTATTGTGTTAATTTGTATTTGGGATTTTCGGCTCCTCTGATACTTCACTTGGTATATTCATTGTGAAAAATGAGCTGCTAAAGCAGGAAGGTCACAGGTTTAATTCCTGGTTTGTGCTGACTTAACCAATCTCAACCGAGTTAGCAGTAGTTAGCTAGTTAAGAATAGGAAAATCCACTGCCCTCTCCCAATGGTCACTATCCAATGAGAGAGTATCTGTAAGTGGAAAAAACAATTCAGGCTCAACCATGATACCCTCCATAGCTGAACGATCTGCCAACCCCCACAGTCTAGGCTCACACATGAAGGTCTGTGTGGTTAGTTACCGAATAATGATTGATGATCATTTCAGGAGAGGAAAAAGGGAAAAAATTGAAGGGGAAAAAAATTAAACATCCCTATCTTGGAGAAGGAAGGGAAAATTAAAAATTCAACTTTACACCGTACAATGTGCATAAAATTCTTGCAGGCCAGTAAATGATAATAATAATCCTAGCATTTAATACAGCGCCTTATCACATCCTCAAGACCCCTCATAGCATTTCACAGGATTTTGCTGTGAAGTGTGGATTTGTTGGCCAATTTGTACACAGTAATGTCCAACAAACAGCTATGAAGTGAGTGGTAATTTTATTTGGGGATTTCTGACCAAGACACCTGGAGAAACTCTGAGACATGATCAAGCATTGTAGATGCATTGAAAGGGTAGAAATGTCACAAGGTTATTTGGTAAACAATTAGTTAAACTGCATCCTGGATCTGTTAGCTTTTACGCACCTGTACCTTTCATGATATAATCAATTGCACGGTCACTGATCGCTGCTTCGCTGGGCTTAATGTCCATAAATGGTTTATTGCCTATTCCCATGGACACCATCTCTTGCATTCTCAGTTCTGTAATGAAAACTTTAATGATCAATAGAATATCTCTGCAAAACTATCCTGGGGAAAGAACTATCGACCCGTAGAGTATTTTGGCACCAGGGATATATCCAACAGTTAAAAACACAGCCCTCCAATGATGAGCACAAAATTGGAAACATTTTTAGAGTGCTGTCTATTTCGAAGCCAGGGATTTTTGCAAAGCACCATGTATTTTATTAGTTTTCAAAGGGGAAGCATTTGAAACAAAAGTATTTAAAAAGGTCTACTCTGAAAATTGCTCACGGCTCTCTGCTTACTCTGCAAAGTACACATAAGAGGGAATTTGGTGTTAGAACATAGGAACAGGAGTAAACAATTCAGCCTGTCGAGCCTTCTCCACTTTTTTATTAGATCATGGCTGATCTGCAATTTAATCCCATACTTAATTATTTCAAAAAAAGTTTTATTTCATTGTTCTTTGACTATGTCCTTTGATGCCCCAAATATTCATCTACTCCCCTCATGTGCGAGTACTGTATACGCTAAGGTATGGTGTCAATGCCATCTCATGTTTTGTATTCCCTCAGATACTTTAACTCACTGTACAATTTTCTTCCCTCTAGGATAAATAGACTTCATCCTTCCACAATACAAGCCCTACCATGTTACCCCTTTATAGTATCAAGCTGTTTCTTAGAGATCCTTGCCTCAAACACCAGTCCTAGTAATTTATGGTCTGTGGAAGTCACTGCAGACTTTGGACCTGCACTGAAATGATCCAGTTGTTGTTATTCTTGGTAATGGAATAAATGCGGCATCAGAAAACAACTTAACCAAGTCACCACAGTCTTAATTTGATTCTCTTAATAGATACAAAGGAAAAGCTTGTTCTTTGTAACTCAGATACATGTCTCTACTTTTAAACGCTTCATCAATATGAAAATTTCCACTAACCAAATTTTACAAAGAATTATTTTCTCGTAATCTGTCCATCAAAGCGCCAGGCTTTACTCGTTGACATACCTCGGTTTCTTAGGGCTTGTCGCCACAAGATTTTCCCTATAACGCTGGTCCAGGTTAGTTTGACTTCAGAGGAGCTGGCCTGAAAGATGTACGTGTCGTGAGATTTCCTTCTCCTGAACCAAATCTCAAAACGAAGTCCACTGTCCCCAACATTCTCGGTCATTCCAATTTCCGCGGTCTAAAATTAGAGAAAGTCAATGAAGATACATGTAATATATCAGCAAGCAGTTTTATCATCGTTATAGCTACCTTTAAGAAAGCTGCATTTGGGCATAATAACAAGCAGATTAAAATGAACTGGAAGATTTTCAGATGGTTAGACTCTCGTAAATAATTACAGTATGTATGAAATCCACGTATAAATTATTATAGGAGATGCTATGCATTGCGTAAAATCTTCAAGTTCAAATCAATGGGTACAAAACTATTACAATTCACAATTAAAATCGCTTTTCCAGACCTTAAATGATTGCTTGTAAATGTAGACATCATATCCTCCATCAATCTTTTTTGTTTTGCTGAAGAGAATGAGATCTTCAAACAGGAAGATGTGTCTCAAGTATTTTTTGCGTCCGCACCAAACAATGAATTCTTCCTGACACATCAGCTGTCCTTGCTCTTTGAGATTCACCTAAAAGCGAAGGAGCTCACAATCACTGGATAAAGCACTGTAACACAACATGGTACTTACTACCCAAATTCCAAAGGATATGATGAAAATTTTATGTCAATCTTTTGTTGTCTGATTTCTAAAGTTCACCCATGACTTCAAGACTCAAGACTGACTATCGGTTCTCATGTGTGGATCAGAATATTGTAATTTACAAGCTGAATTCACTCTTGCGCAATGGACCAACCTGTTTTGATAGTTACGTTGAATTACCACACAAAATTGATGGCTCCCAACTTAACAGGTTACAGATCAGAGAGAGTACCTGAGGCTTTCTTTGTAATTACAACTGCAGGAAAGCTTTACAACTACACAATATATTTCTTGAAAGATTTGGCATTGTGTTGCATTTAAAACAATGCAGATTTACATTTATATAGCCGTTTTCACACCAAGAAGACGTCCCAAAGCACTTAACAGTACTAAACAGCACAATTTAAGAGTCCTGTAGCTCGGCGGTTAGAGCACTCGCCTCACAAGCGAGAGACCTAGGTTTGATTCCCAGCAGGGCAGAACCTTGGGCAAGTTTCCTTACTCCACACACCTGATAATAATCGCTGAAGAAAAAAAACAATAGTAATTTGGTCACTCAATCCATGACTGTTTGTGGGACACTGCTGTGTGCAATTGGCTGCCGTATTTCACCCACAAAATATACTGTCAATTCACTTTACTGTAAAGCGTTTTGAGATATCTAGAAGAGGTGAAAAGCGCTATGTCAAACGCAAGGATTATTATATTTAATTTATAAACTACAATCTTAACAGTACACAGTATATATACTACATTATATTAAATCTATATATGATGTTCTATCAGATCAAACTCCATGCTGTGCTTTAATTACTCTTACATCAACTTAATAAATGACTGTATAATGTATTAAGTGCTTTGAGACATTCATTTGAGACATGAAAGATACTGTGCAAATACAAGTTGTTGGTGGTCAAATTGGAAACAAAGGAGAAAAGATTGGCTGATAGATGATTTCCATTTGCTGTCCATTAGCAGCCAAATTATAATCTGTATTTAAAACCAACTACATAATGAGCAGCAACTTCAGTGTGGTCTGCAGCTCACTTAATTTTCATCAGATTATTATTATACATTTTTGGTGCTATTTGGAGACTGTATTGCAAATATACTGTGACAGGTTTTAGGGAGAAAATTCATACAAAAGCAAGGGTCACCAGCTCTCTTTGCTCCCATTTACTGCAGTTCTGAAATGGATAGCTATAACAGATCAGAAAGCACATTTTGGCCATTTCACTGCTGTGTTACATAACATATGGTACAACAGGGCATAGGAGCTGCCTTGGCCTGTAGGAGATGCAGGTTAACCCACTTCAAAATTACTATTGTGAGTCTTCTCCCTTTTCCTGCTAGAAGCAATCAGTGTATGTGTCAGAGCAATGATTGAATTCTGCCTGGTAGATTAATTAAATGCATACTGCACCCGGTATAACTCATGGGAGAATGCATTTAGTTTCTTACTATCATGGATTGCAGTGACATATGAATATTGCTGATTATAAATGTAACAAAATCTGAGTTTACATCCATATGGTTTCACAGTAGTCAGAAGCTTTTAGCCATTCTGGAAGCATCCAAGCTGTACTCAATGTTGTTGTACTCCAGAAAAATATCTAGTGAGTTAACTCATCTAGTGATTGAAAGCTATATCGCCCACCAATGGCCCATGACCAGCCACTGCTGGGTAAGTGGATAACTGAAAGGCAGAATTATTGGCGGGAAGAAAGTTTTGCTTGTTCCTGGATTTTGCCGAGAATGTGCTTTATCTAAAGCACTCTCCCATGCACTTTGCACCAGTTACAGTATTTATCACTGAATCCTTGAGAAACCCAGCCTGGCTCCCTATGCTACGTTTTTCCACACAGATTGGGAGGTGTTTCTATTTTGAAATATGAGTACATAAATATAATAAATGATGATCATTTTCATTCACTATTTTTAAAAGCATAAATTTTATTGTATGGCTCAGCGCTTGGCTAAGTGGTAGTACTCTTGCCTCTGAGTCAGAAGATTGTGGGTTCAAGCCCCACGTCAGGACTTTAAATCGCAGAGTCTAAGATGACCCTCCAGTGCAGTGCTGGGGTGGGTGGGGGTTGTATTGTCAAAGGTGCCGTGCTTCGGATGAAACAGTAAACCAAGGTCCCATCTGCCTGTTCAAGTGGACGTTAAAGGTTCCATGGCACTATTCGAAAAGTTTCTCCTGGTGTCCTGGCCAACAAATAATATTGGTCACTCCATGGCTGTTTGTGTGATATTGCTGTGTGCAAATTGGCTGCTGCGTTTCATCGACAAAATACACAGTCATTCCACTTTACAGTGTATCATGTGAAGCGTTTTGAGATGTTTTAGTAAACAAAAGAAAGTGAAACCTGGGTAATATCTTATTATCTCTTATAGAATAGGAGAGTACTTTGAAGAAGCATACTCCCCTCTAGACCTACGTCTACTGTAATCTTGTGGCATGATGTATTTAATAGTAACTGTTTTCATTTTGTTGCTTCATTTGATCATCCATCAATTATTCTCTCTCAAATTGTTCCCATCATGTACAACCCGAAAGTCTTTGATCTCTTTTCCTTTCTATTGAGGCACAGTTTTATTTGTGGTGGGTACTCTCCAGCAACTCTACCGATTATTCATGTAGAAAAATATAGAATAAATTCCTCCTGGAGAGGAAAGAGAGAGAATTGGAAGAGAGAGAAAAAAAATCATAAATGGCAAACCATGCGAAAGGAAGGAACATAAGAACATAAGAATTAGGAGCAGGAGTAGGCCATTCGGCCCCTCGAGCCTGCCCCGCCATTCGATAAGATCATGGCTGATCTTCTGACCTAAGTCTAATCACCTGCCCTATCTCCGTATCCCCCAATCCCTCTGTCTTTTAAAAATCTATCAGTCTCAGCCTTGAAGATGTTCAAGGACTGAGCATCTACAGCCTTCTGGGGTAGTGAATTCCATAAATTCACTACCCTCGGAGTGAAGAAATGTTTCCTCAACTCTGTTCTAAAAGGCTGACCCTTAATTTTAAGACTGTGACCCCTGGTTATAGATTCTCCTACCAGGGGAAACAAACCCTCAGTGTCTACTTTATCCAGCCCTTTAAGAATCTTATATGTTTCAATAAGATCTCACCTAATTCTTCTGTACTCTAGAGAATATAGCCCTAGTTTATTCAGCCGATCCTCATAGGTCAGTCCCCTCATCCCAGGAACTAACCGAGTGAATCTACACTGCACCCCCTCTAGGCCAAGTATGTCCTTTTTTAAATAAGGAGACCAAAACTGCACACAATACTCTAGGTGTGGTCTCACCAAGGCCCTATACAGTTGCACCAAGACTTCCCTACTTTTGTACTCTAAACCTTTTGCAATGAACGCTAACATGCCGTTCGCCTTCTTAGTTGCTTGCTGCACCTGAAAACTAACTTTTTGAGACTGGTGTACAAGGACACCCAAATCCCTCTGCACACTAACACTATCTAATCTCTCCCCCTCTAGAAAATAATCTGTTTTTCTATTTTTTCTACCTAGGTGAATAACTTCACACTTCCCCACATTAGATTCCATCTGCCACCTAATCGCCCACTCCCCTAGCCTATCTATATCCCGTTGCAATTTTTTTGCATTATCCCCAGAGCTTACTCTCCTACCTAGTTTAGTGTCATCCGCGAATTTAGATACGTTACATTCAATGTCCTCGTCTCGAGGTCAATATTGGTTAGGTTGTTCAAATGGCTGAGAAATACCGAAGAAAACGTAAAGAAGAAAACAGAGTCTGTCTGTAACAACTACAGAAATGTCCTTACATCGCACCCTCGGATGGCATCCATGGCCAGCAAGTCATTCCCATGACGAAGTTGAAACTTGACCATTTCCTCAGCTCCTTGGAGATCAGCGAGTTCCTGCTCCTGCGCTTTGCTGCACTCCTTGATCATGTCCTTCAACAGTAACGCATACTTGCTCATCCGCTGGATAGGCTTCAGCAAGTAGGAGGCCAGGTCCATCTTATCACCAAGAGCCAGTTGCTTATTCTGCAGAAAGATTACATTTTGCTGATGAGTACAGGGGAAAGCAGACTCACTCAATTGGAATTACATGAGGTGAGTACTATTGACAAATCTTGATCTTCCAAGGGCACTTTTAGAGAAAAAAAATATTTCTTGAGACAAGTAATGCCATACTAACCTCTCAGCCCAAGTCCTTTGGCTTGCTGCCAACCGCATTTCAGTCATTGATCTGTTATTCTTTTAAACTAGTGGTTATTTTATAATGAACCATAGGTGACTCTTCTTTGTCCACCGTGTTAAATTTAACACTGCCTTATGTTGCATTCTTTGCCTGTTTTTTGTCTATCTAGGAATGTGTAAGACCTTGTAGTCCTAAAATAGAATTAATTCTTTATCGAATAACTATCTAATTCTCTCTTGAATTTGCTGACCCAATCTGCTTCCACAGGCTCCCCAGTTGTCTATTCCTTGTAGTTGTCCAGTCTTTGTGTAAAGTAACTGTTTTAATTCACATAGATGTGCATCGAAACTGGCTAGGTAGCTGCTGTGATGTGCCCCTATGTAACTGGTCCACCTGGGTGGTTCATAGATCAACAGTCAGGACCCAATGATCTAAATGACGCAACTTACAGCTAAACCGAAAATAATTCAAATTTCAGGTTTGTTCAAACAACAACTCAGGTCAATTTGTGATATTCGCCAAAAGGTGGGAAAAGTTAATTATGATTTGTGTTTTGTTGTCTGTATATTCCCCAATTGTTTACATGTAAGTTCTGAAAACTGACAAAGTGTAAATAAAAATAAGGAGGGCAAATTGGTCCATCATCCATCAGGTTCAAAGAACAAAATGGTCCTTTATTTCAGAGACAAATGTGCATTTTGCTATTATAAATTACAGCCGTCAGTTTTAAAATACTCTCTATCTCCAAGATTGGAGGAGGATAGCATGAACAAGACATCCCCTTGAGCCCTAGCCCTTCCCTATCTCTGTGATTTCCTCCTACTACTCTCTTCTGCTCGCCCCCTCCACTCAGCTAACTCAGGCTTGCTGTGTGTGTCCCATGCACGCCTCCCCCCCAACCGTGTCACCATCGGTAGCCGAGCTTTCAACTTCTATGCCCCTAACCTCTGGAACTCTAGAACTCCCTTCCCCTACCCCTCCTTCTCACTATTTCTCTATGTATCTTTAAATACCACCTTAAAAGCTAACTCTTCAACCATGCCTATGTTCACCTCTCCCTTCCCTGCTCCCTCTTGCTCGGTTTCTGATCCCATCATTATGAAGTGCTCCAAGATGTAGGGCTCTATATAAATGCAAGCTGTTGTTGCTGAATTGTGGATCAATGCATACCCAAAGTGTTACCGCAACCTAAAGGTCAGGTTATTTTCCAAGCTTTTACAACCCTTAAAGCGTCCTCCCGATGTGAAAGGTGCTATACAAATGTCATCTTGTTGTTGTTGTTAAAGCAGTTGGATAAAACTCTAAATGTCTTTCGTCATGATATTCCTGCACAAATTAAAAAATAAAAATAAATTCAGTTCCATTGAATAATTGTGAGAAGCACCTACTTTAAAGAAAGCATTTCCATGACTGGTGAGCAAGGTGTCAGACTGCGGCTTGTTCTTGCTGTACAGTGCATACATTCCAAATTGCTCTTCCTACATTAGAAAAAACAAGCAAAGGTAGTTAAAATAATAATTCTCATATTTAATAAGGCACCTTTTACGTCAGGAAGATGTCTCAAAGTGCTTCACAGGATTTAAAAAGTGTAGTGATTATATATATAGATGAATACGCCTGTTAATTTGCACACAGCAATAATCCCACAAACAGCCATGGGCTGCTGGCCAAGGCACCAGTAAAAACTCTCTTCCCTTTTCGAATAGTGCCAATGGACCTTTAACATCCACCTAAACAATCCTGTTTCTGTGAAAAACAGGCTACAGAAAGAACAGGAATGAGAATAAAAAACCTAAAGGCTATTTATTATATGCAATTCCCTAAATGGCAAGTTCCATATATCTGGATAGCACTTGGAGGAGGTGCAATGTGCACATTTCTGTGGAGCAAGGGGAATAGCAAGCAAGCTAGCTCAGTGACAATTTGATTCCATGCAAGACAGAGCGGAACATAACATATGTTCATTTCTTTGGCAAGTGAGGCAGATGCACTCCGAAGCCTGAGGAAATACAAGGTGCTTCCTTAGTCTATCACCCAAGAGTATGGGCACAGCATAAACAGAGAATGAACACAGGAACCATGGTGCGCTAGAGTAAATGCACGTCATGTTTATGCTCTCTTCTGATTTCCTAACTCACTTCTTTCCTTGTTATTAAGTCTGTTGTTGGCTCAGGAGCTATCCTTGTGGAATTTTCCTGTCTGATGCTAACACAGCTATTGGTAAAAAAGATAACATGATGTGAGCGAGAGACTGAATTGTTTGGGATGGTCACAGCCACACAAAACTGGAGGAGAAATGTGAAGATCATTAAAGTCAGAGAAGAAATAAAAGTGAATCTGCATCTTACAAAAAATAAACCAAAGGAACATGTAAAATTCAATTAAATCAATGTACGTTTACAATACTGGTTTCACCAAAACAGGTCAAATATGCTGATTGATGGAACACAAAATTATGAACACATTACTCGCCCTGAGGGCCAGTAAGTGTCCGACAGGATTGCAATTTCCACATAGTTAGTTCGCCTCAAAGAGGGCTATAGTTAATGTGCTACATGGGACTCAATGCCCCTGATTGGTGGGGGGATGGGAAATCAGACAGGACAGTAGCTCCTTATACATAATCTGTGCATTGGTTGGTTTTATTCTTTGCATTATCTTCGCATCATTTCTTTAAATGCTTCACAGTTTCTTTTCTGTAAAGTGTAATGACTGTGTATTTTGTAAGCCAACGCGGCAGCCAATTTGTGGACCGTAATATCCTGCAAGCAGCTGCGTCCTGAAGGATCATTTATTTCAAACCCTATCGCAATTGAGTGACGCCTGCTGGAAAGAGCACTTGTGCATGTGCGAGTATGGTTGCATGCTGGGTTGATATTAGGTAAGTACGTGATTTGGCTGTTGTGATGTCCCACATTGTCAATGAGTCTACCAGCACTAGCTGTCTTGGTACACAAATAAAAAATAGTCCGGCTCATTGGTGTTCATGCCATCCGTTATGTGCTGTAGCTTGCTTTGGAAAGACAGGGACACCTGGTTTCAACATTTTTTTNGGTGATGATGCTATGTAAAAGATCATGCTGATATGGGTTTCACCATGTGAAAACCCATCATCGTGCTTAAGAGTATCCAGAGTATCTCAGCTAGGCAAGAGTTTCATTGCCTTGGAGCAGCGATAAGAAAAATGACCAAAAGCGATGGGCGAAGAGATGGTATGTCGTTATGTCTTGAGATAGGCTTTGAACTGGGGCGGTGGTTAAGGGAGGGGGAGGGGGAGTGAGAGGGGAGAGCAAAAGAGAGAGAATTGAGGGACTCTGGGATGGAGTTTCTGGAAAATCGCAACAATTTCATGAATTCCCAAAGCGAGTTTCAATGTGCTAATTCCAATAAACAGTTTGCAAATATTAATTTGCCTAATCGCTCCTTCTGAAAGGCAAGCAAAATGTCAAGTCACAATTGGCAAGTAGCATTAATTTGTGAATGCCCTAAATTAGGTTCTGATAAGAGGATATGGTTTTCCGACAGCGATGCCAAGACCATCAAATGCAAGGATTATTATTTATTTATTCTGATGTTATAAGTAGCTGGGAACTACAGCCTCCTACTCACTCAAATGTAAACATTTAAAACTAAGCAAGACAGACAGCAGAGAAGACAGGGGGACTTACGTGTCTGCGGAAGCAGTGGCTGACACGAAGTGGGCAGTTTGCACAATGCTCTAGCTCCTTCAGAAAATACTGACAGTGAAAATCATAAAGCTTCTCCAGATTCCCAAAGATGATATTCCGCTTCCCGCGTAGATCCTGGGGCAGGTCCGGTCTTTCCATCTCTGGGAAGTAATGATCAATAATGTAGCCGAGGGATTTGACATACTCCCTCTCGGTGGCGATCATCTCATCCATTATGTGCTGTAGCTTGCTGTGGAAAGACAGGTACACCTGGTATGAACATTTTTTGGTGATAATGCTATGTAAAAGATCATGCTGATATGGGTTTCATTGATCAGTCAGGTAGTTGACACATGTGAAAACCCATCTTCATGTTTAAGAGTATCCAAACTAGACAGAGTTCCTCATGTGTATATCACCTACACACGAAAATGCCCTTTTGTCTGGAATGAAATGTGCACTCACAGAGGGACTCACTCTGCTTTTATCTAATTCTGTAGCATATTGGGGCAGCATGGTGAGAGCCAAGAACTTGGGGAATTCGGAGTGCATTGTAACCTCTACTGAGGTTACATACTAAATACAGAACAGAAAACAACTTGTCAATTAAGATTTTTCCAGCACGTGAGTGCTGAGGCCCACTGTAGCGCCCAGCTGACAAAACCAGGGATCTTTCTGTTTGGCTCAGCTACACACTGAATAAACCTGCCAAACAGTTACTAAGCCCTAAAAGTTAACAATTTTTCAAACTTTATGGAACATTTAGATTTTTTTTTACCCTCCATAGACACTGGCTGCCTTCCTCACCCTATGGACATTGCGTATGAGATGTGGTCTGTATTAGATTGTGAGGTGCACCTACACACACAGACTCTACAGGAGTCACTACTGGCCAATTCTGTCTCTCTCTTGTTCCTAAAGGCAATGAGATTATTAACACCACTACTGCCACCATAGCTGACTCTTGACAGAATGTGAATTTAACCTGGATTCTTCTGGGTCAGATTGGGTATTTAACCTGGAATGTCAAGGGTCTGAATGATTTAGATAATTGACACAAGGACAGAAATTACAATCCTTTGTGTCTGGGAACTAACAAATGATTGAGCATGAACCCCTTCCCCTCTACCCTCACATCTGGAAAATGGTTTCTCTCGCCAGCTAGATCACTGCCAATTTTACATAAAAAAAAGATAGAATACCTTCCTGTTTTGAATTCTGGATGCCCGCATAGACCTGAAATTCCACCTAGCCTTAGCCTATAAAAGAGATGCCTTAAGATTGAAGGTTGCACAGAATTTTACCGAACTCATCAATTCAATTTGCAAATCTATTGGTTTTGAGAAGCACAGAAAAACAGCTTTAAAATCAGAACAGAATTCAAGAATTTTCCAAAATAATGTGCGATTTTAAATTTTAAGATAAAACTGGCCTTACAGGCTTAAACTGGGTGATATTTCAGCGTTGTAGCTTTCTTCCCTTGTTGGCTTTAGTTTTATAATTATTTTTAATCCATTATGTGTCGAACAAGCATGAAATCCATGCGCTTTCTGGCCCCAAATTAAAAATTTTCAGATGAGGCCAAAGAACCCCAGTAAGTTATTCAACCAATGATTCACGCAAGTATTACCTTCCCGTTTTCTTCACTTCTTCTGTACGTGGAAGGTAAATCCTGGAGGATGATGGCAGGCTGTGAGTCCTGGTTAACACTGGGCTCCTTACCTCTGGCCTCAGAGTGCGCTTTTTGTCAGCCACAACATTACTGACCACCTCCAGTCCTTTGATATAAACCCCAGTGTTTCCGTGCCTGCCGGCTTCACCATGGCTGTCCTCTCGTGTCGACGTCTCAAAGTTCTGCGTCTTCTTCATGATCTTTTTCAGAGGCTGCTTCTTGTGCCGTGGGGACGGAGAGCGGACAGGCTCCGAGTGACAGGAAGCAGTGGATGCACCGACCAACCAGTCATCGTTGGCATCTTCCAAAAAAGGAGAACCTCCTTGGTACCTGCTGCAAGCTGGCGTAGAGGACAGGGATGTTGTGCTGAAGTTATGCAGCGCGGTAGTGGTTTGGTTCAACTCTTCGTAATTTAACACCGCAGTGCATCCCGATTCCAGAAAGCTCTGGCTATACTCCTGGTGCTGTATCTCATCACTAATCCAAACATTGCTCTCCACACTGCCAACTATCTTCTGCGAGAAAGAGTCTCCAAGTTCATCAGAGCCCTCGGTGTCAAACTCACCGCTTGTCCTGGGACCTTCATCCTCAGAGAGTGTTTTGGTAACTGAGTTACTTGTGTGATTACCCGTTTGGATTCTGAGGGCCACAGAGAGTTTTTCTTCCAAAAGGTGCCTGGTTTGTTGGAATTTGTCCCAGTGGATGTTCCACTGCTTGAGTTCCCTCGGGCTGGCAAGATTCAGAATCATCTCATTTACCTTTTGGAGGGTTTCCGCATTGAACTTTGCAGCTTCCTGATGGTAGCTTTTCAAACACTGAACTGCTGCCTCCATGTACTCTGGTGTGCTGTGCTCGTCCATTTTCAACTGTCCAAGATAATCATTGCAGTGCAACACCCATTTGTCAGCCTAGCAACAAGACATCAGAAGAGCATAAGGAAGGGCGCATTGAGCAAAAGCTTTTCACCCCATCAGGACAGTTTCCTCACAGTCCACACAAAAGACATCCGATGATGGGCTTCACCCCACCTGCTCTATATGTTCTGTGAACCATCCTAACTAAACTTCCTAGGAGTCCTGTAGCTCAGTGGTTAGAGCACTCGCTTTGCAAGTGAGACACCTGAGTTCAATTCCAGGCAGGGCGAAACCTTGGTCAAGTTTCCTTACTCCACACGCCTAATAATAATCCCTCCAAAACCCCAAAAAAAACATTAATGAATTGGTCATTTTCAATCTACGACTGTTTGTGGGACATTGCTGTGCGCAATTGGCTGCCACGTTCGCCCACAAATTTGCAGTCAATTCACTTTACAGTGTGTTCTCTGAAGCGCTTTGGGACGTCCTCCTGACGTGAAAAGCGCTATATCAAATGCAAGGATTATTATTATTATTATTACTTAGTAGCTGCAGCAGCTCGAGTAGTTTGGTCACACCATTTTCAGTAAATGGGGGGGGGTTGAGTGGGTGGGAAGGAGCTGTTACCCTCCAGTAATTGGTAGTCTGCAACATCTCCAAGAGAGGAATGTGTCAAGAAACCACATAACACATTGGTTACCACTCTGTAGTAACCCAGTAAAGATGTTTTCGTAAAGAAAATCTTATTCAAAATATTTGCAATTACAACTTGCTTAGGGATTCAAAAATAACTTTCAAAACACATTGTACTCATCATAAATATACAGTGGCTGAAAATTGGATACTGGAACAACATTAAAAACCTATAGGAAGCCAAAAAACATGTTTTATGGTAGTAATAATAAGAACCCTTACATTTCTGTTTGCCAGTACACAATAGTAGTTGCAAGGCGTTATAGCCCCATATTGATGATTCCTCCAATGGGTCAACTTTAATTGCTGAAGGCATTATGCAGGACTCAGGTTTTGTTGAAATATTAAGCTAGAGGAATGGAATGGCATACTTACCATCTCATAGAATTCATATAGATTTACCACGTTGTCCAAATCCAATCTCCGCTTTTCTGTCCTGTTGATCAAGTTGCTCAGAAAGAGTTTGAACTGCTCAACTTCTTCTTCAAAATTTACCTGTTCTTCGGGCGAGCAGTTGTTCAGATGGCCAGCATCTTTGATCAGCTGCGTCCCTTTTCTATAGTGTTGCTCCAAAAAACAGATTAGTGCACCAGATTGAATTTGAGTTATCATAACAAAGCGTGTCTCTATTACATTGGGGTAAAATTTGCATCCTTGCTTTACCCATTCCTCATTTTAATTAGCGCTGGGTTGAAATATGAAAATGGTTTGCAATTTGCAATTGAAAGTTGACATCATTGATAAATTCACAATGATGGGGTCCAGAGGAATCCTGATTTGAAAGTCATATTTCTAGATTTAAAATCACTTTCAACATGAAAACGATTAGTCAGTTTCCGGTACTTTATGACTGAGATTTGACAGGATATCTCATTTAACACAAAGGGCGGATTAAGAATAGCACAAATCTCACCCCAAGTGTTTCTACTGCTCAAGGACTTAACTCGTTTCTTTTTCAGTGACTGATTGATCCAACCTCAATAGTGACTTGTGGTAATCAATTCCAAACTCTATCAGCTCTCTGATTGAAGAAATTGCTTCTAACCTTTTCCTTGATTTTGCAGGCAAAATATGCCATCCAGATAAGAGTATGAAAGTTAAAGTCGAAATTGGGTATTGATTTTCCTGACTCAGGCCTCAACTAACGCATCAGCTAAAAATTAAAACATTGAATTGAAAAAATAATGACTATAAAATTGCTGTTCCTGTCATTGAATTTTCTGAGACAATTTCTCAGGTTTATTTTTGCAGGAATATCTTCTAAAAATAAGCTACAAAAGGGAGAATCATTTGTGTACTTTAACTGTGATTGAGAGGTCTCGGTAGGATTAGAAACCTCATCAGTGGGACAGCTCAGAGCGATGGTTACTCTGTATCCCATCTCTCATGATTCTCAAGGTGCACATCAATATGTTTCACTACACCACAGCTAAGAAGTGGTATTTCCACCCCTCCCCCTCAACCCTCCCTCCCCCCCCACCTCCCTTTCCCCCACCTCCCTGGAAGCATTTTCCATACTGGGAATGGTGCTGCTCACCGTTCTACTACCCGGTTCACCACGAGTAATTGGATCGAGTTTATGTGTGGGGGCTTCATAAATCTTCTGCTCTGTTGTAAGAGGTTTCCCGAAGGAAAACTAAACACTGAGTCATCCCTCCAACCATCATTCAACTTGAAGACTTGACATTGATCGAGAACAGGCACGAATGAGGCCTCTATTCCCACGTCGGGCAAGAATCCTTCACCGACACATGGAGTTTTATTTCATTTAAAAGTGACATTCAGATGGTCTATCAGGTAAAGACACTGCTCTTGTAACAGTAAATACATAAACCAGAAGGTCACAGGTTCAATGATAAACTAGATGATCACAGTTGGGGAAGCAATTCCCCTCTGTATTGATATCCAGTCACTCCTGTTGTAAAGTGTGTGCAGATGTCAGGTGAGGATAAGATTGGATTCAACTGTGATCCTCTCCACTGTTGAATAGCTTACCAATGCTTACCATTTAGTCAGGCTCACATGTGAAGTAATAGTCACTTGATCGAGGTACTTGTACCCCAGCAAGAATCCTGCTGGTTAGGAGAGGAGGAAATGGGGGCAAAATTCACCTAAATATGAGGTTGTGATAATGGGGCTGAAATGCAGACTCACAAGCTGGAATCCCAAATTGCGATTGCTGCCTGCGACCAGGTGTGTATCACTGCAATAACTCTGCCCTAACCTGCCTGGAAGTAGGAGGCAGAGTTCCTGAGGATCAGCTTGACTGATGTTCAGTCACCAGCAAGTTTCTCTATTCGTGAATCCAGATTAAAAATGCAACATTTTCCACCAAACTCTGGAGTGCCCACTATGTCTCTGAGCACCCCAACTACATGTGATAGCACTTACTGTGGCCAGGTCATAGAAGACACTGAACTCTTCCTGTGCCTGTCGTAATGATTCCAGGGAATGCGGCAAACAGTCCAGCTGTATGAGGTGTTTCTCTCCTTCACACTCAGCCCACTGCCTTATCTGCAGATAAAGAAAGGACAGCAATCCGTGTGTGAGCAAACACGTAGCAGGCAGTATGGGCCCCTGTCCAGAAACAAAAAGCAATCAGCACTGCAGCCACCTGGGAACACGGTGGGATTGTGATTCGCATTGCAGTCAGGACATAAAGTGATTTGAGATTGAGTGGTGCAGCAAATTGAAACACAGTTCATTTATCTCTGAGGACGGAACCTAGGAAACTGGGATGAACTATGTAATTTAAACCAGCTCCTGCTTTAATTCAGTTCTCAGCTGTTTACGATTCTTCAGTACAAAACTGCTCTCAGATCAAGCGCACTCATGCGTTGGATTTATAAGCATTGAGCCCCCATCCGCATCTGAAAGGTGGCTCTGCAAATCTGGTGCTGAGAAAGCTACCTTATTTGTAAGACCATGCTTCTTTCACAAACAGAAGGGGGTGGGGGCAGAAAAGGAGGCAAATCACACAGTGAATTAGCGAGCACTCCTGCCTTTCAACTTGCTGCTAATGGAATGGTTGGCCTACCACTCAGCAGTGTCCTTGTCTCCTCTTGTTAACTGTTCAAACCTGTGCTAGATACTTGCTCTGACCTTCGAATCCTTCCACACTCTCACCCCTCCCTACCTCGCCAGCCCTACTCTCCTACCCACAAGTTCTGCTCCACAAACTCTGTTCTGCTATTCATCCCTCACCTCCTTCCACCTCAACAATGACTTCTGAACTTTCAGGGACTTTGCTCCCATTCCCCGGAATTTGCCTCTTCAATCCTTACCCCTCTCCTCCCTGTTTCCTAAACCCTTCCAAATATCTACCTCTTGACCAGGCTTTCAGTCAATTCCCTCCTTATCCCCCATTTCCAAACTTCCTTGGATTTCTATACCATTGCTGTGATGCACTACCAGATATTTATTATTATTATTTGGCCTGCGATTGAAGGGGGTTAAATTCAGAACAAATCTGCGGAGACACTTCTTCAGTGAGCGAGTAGTAAACTTATGGAACGGGCTCCCTAGGGAGATGATGGAAGCAGAAAGTGTTGTGTGTTTCAAGAACAAATGAGATAGATTTCTGCTAGAAAATAATATCTCGGGATACAGTATATAGTTTGGGACAAATGACAAGACAAATGACTGCCAAGATGGTGGAAGGCGAATGAGATGAACCTTGATCTTCTTTCACTTAGCAAATTCTTATATTCTTATGATTCCATGTGAAAGACTCTACATCTGTTGACGTATTAACTAGCTTCTGGAGATTTTTTGGAAAGCAGTATCTAGAACCTCTGGCCTTTGGCAAACCATAACAAAAGTGTTTTTTGTTTTAAAGAGAATGTTAACATTAATGCTATTTCCAGGGATACGTTCATTCCAGTGGGTAAGGTGGTCCTAGCTCTGCTAACAGTTCGCTGAATAGTCACTCAAATCTCATCTACTGCTAAAATTGGGTAGAGGGGAAATCGGAGGCAGTATGTAATGAAAATGTTTCACAGCCTTGTACTTGTCCTGGACATGTTTGTTGCTGTCAAGAAAGAAATAACTTGAACTTTTATAGCACCTTATTATGCCGATATTTCACAAAACACTTTATAGGTGATTTTTGCGTGTCAAGTGAAGTGACTATTTTGGTAAGGTCAAAAGAGCAGAAGTGGAAAACAAAATAGACCACGAAGTAAGTTTGAAAGCAATAAGAAAGTTATAAAGGAATAAAACATTTAAGACTTCACACAGCAGTTTCTGTCCATTAATTGGATCTAATGACTTTGTGATGAGATTTTTAAAACTCAGTTACGGGGAGAAAATCAGTCGTACTGCTCTGAACAGTGCCAGAAGCTGATGTTTAAATTGATTTAAAATCATAACAAGATTCCAGTTTCTACCTCTGTCCAGTCTTTTTTTCGGATGGGGTGGGGGGGAGAAGGGAGATTGGAAGAAGCACACAAATGGAGTCATGGCGTGCAAACTGTAATATTTCCTTTCAGATTTTTCTAACGCGTTTTATTTGCTCAGTTGAGTGTCTTATGAAATGTGTTCAGTCATTATTATTTATTCTTATTATTGTACTCATTATTTATTATTTTAATAAATATAATTTAAATTATAATTAAATAAGAATGTTTTAAGAAACAACACATTTTTAATACATGCGCACATATTTGCTTTGCAAGGAAGGGACATTAAAAAATGTATAAACAATAACATCTTGTGTTTAGATAGCACTCTTCAGAGTCACAAAAACAGAGCACCGTAGACAAGGGAATAATACGAATGATAGGAAATCTCACTCAGTGTTAAGGTGGTAAGCCTTGTACTTCTGTTCCTGAGATCACTAAATTACTAGTCAACTCTAACCGTTACAAATCCTCTCCCAAATAATAGATTTCGTCCACAAATGTAGAGTCATTTCACTTTACAATATATTCTGTGAAGCGCTTTGGGACATCTAGAAGAAGTGAAAAGCTATATCAAATGCAAGGATTATTTATTATTTATTCTTCCTCAGAAAATTGATGAGATTAAATACAAGCATGTCAAAGCCATATACACACAGACTTGCTCTTATTCTTGTTTTCCATTTTTGTGAAACTACCCATATTTCGGATTATTTTAGCAGCACACACAGCCACCTCCAACTGATTTTGAGGGGAAGATGGAATTACGAAGTATATGAAAATGATTAGATGAAAGGACAAGGACAAAGTGAAAGCACACCCTTCCTTCCTGCTTATATCAAATAGAACTGCCCTCAGAATCAGTTAACTCGTTTGAAGTGTGATCGATTTCAAGATCCTCACATTCGTTTTCAAATCCCTTCATGCCCTGGCACCTCACTATGTCTCTGACCTGCTAAGCCTCCAATCCACAACCCGCTGCCTCCACTCGACCTGCTCCGGCCTTCTGAATGCCCCTCGTCCCCTCTGGAATGCTCTCCCTCTATCCCTCCATCTTGCCCCTTCCTTCCCCATCTTCAGGTCACGCCCAAAGAACCCCCTATTCGACCGTGCCTACGGTCACCTCCTCCTGCCCCCAACTCAGCGCCATGCTCCGCCATGGTCAAGCGCTCTGGGACGCTACCCTGGGTGAGGGGTGCTACATAAATGCAAGTTGTTGTTGTTTGTGGTTATACCAGGAAGAAATGCTGGTACAGTGGTAACACTTGTATTATCATGCCATTCCTATAATGACCACTAGAGGATGGAAATGAATACTGCAGATAGTGAGGAGCAGTAAGCAATGGGATTGAAAAATGCTCCTCAAGTGAGTGGAAATGTCACTTGCATCTCACCACACAAAAAAAGTGCCTCACAACAAAACTGAGTTTTCAGCAGAGAAACCTTTGTAGATTGTGCTGAAAAAACAGACGTCGACTCCAAGCCAATATCTCTCCATTTTCTTTGATCAGTCGGGTGTCTGACACTTGAGGAAACCCATCACAATGCCTAAGAGTATCCAAACGAAACTGAGTTCCAAGTATCCCATCTACACATGGAAATTCCAGAGATATTTATTGGAATAGGATGTGCACTCTCTCCCTGGAGGGACACATCCTGCTTGCCTAGTTCTGAAAAATATTAGGCGCAAGTCGGCATGACATCAGGCATGCGGAAGTAGTATAAGCAAGCAAAGCAAAACACAAAGATGATGGTACATTTTTTTCGGAAATCAAAGCGGGAGATCATCAAAGCTGTCTCCTTTGTTTTCACTTCCTCATGGGAGTCTATCGTACAATAGGGTTTCCCATTAAAAAGATGCAATGAAATGTGAGATGTTTTACGATTCCCCGCAAATATACCAGAGTCCTTGCTCTCACCTTACTGCAGCCCTCCTCAAACTGCCTCAGCTCCAACAGGATCTCCAGCTGCTGTAGGGACTTGTTGGATAGTATCACCAGTTTGTGTACCTCTTCATCCACTCGATTGTACAGCAATGTGATGCTGTCGATTGCATCCCTACATTGAAAGATAGACTTTAGTGAGTGCTTAAAAATCTCCATTGCAGAGATTGTATAGTGTATTGGTCAATGGGGTGTCTGTGACGTGCAGAAACCCATAGTTAGGATTACCCAAAACAAACTGTTGAGAGTTCGACATACATTTGGAAATTTACCTATTTCTGGAATGGAGCATGTTTCAATCAAGAACATTACTTTTCAAATGACTTAAAAGCACATTATTAACAAATGCCAACTTACAAGCATTCAATCCTCCAGAGTAGTTCATCTATGACAATTAACTTTTGAATTTCAAATATTAATACTGTATTTTCAATATGAAGTTGTATATCCCTAGCAGGATTCATAAATAGCCTGTGGTAAGTGGAATTGCATCGCAATAAACCATGTAAACTCCCTTTATATAATGAACTATGATGGTTATTCTCTGCTTGTCAATTAATTCCCCTCTGTTTTGGAAGGGCTGCTCATAATGCTAAAATGTCCCCCCACCAAAAACAAAATCTTGGTACATTAATATCTAATGTAGTATGTAGTAATACATTACTACATAAAAGTCAAACGGTGGTGTCAGTGAGATACAAGAGAGACACAGTACAGACAGGTCATGCCCCTGTCCTGCCATGCACAAACATGGCCAATAACACAAATGCGCTGTATAGATCAGAGCTTGTCATGGCCACATGCGTAGGCTGACAACAGCTATACAATACCAAATCTTCATTTCACCCCTAGCTTGGTGACACATGCTTGACACAAATCATTACTTAGTTTGCTGCTAAACATACTGTGATCAAATGCATTTCCTGACTTCTGCTTTTGTGACTTAAGAAATGAAAAAGGAATCCTAATTGTGCCTTCGAGTTTCGTAAACACATTTCCTGCACACAAAGGGGATAAGAGGAATATTTGCTAGAGTTATGTAAATGACTGCAATGTACTAATTTAGGACGTCATCCCATTATAATCAGTGCTGTGATTTATTATCACTGGCCTTCAATTAAAATCAAAGGTATCATTTTTTGGAAGCAGTGAATCTCAAAGATGCCTGAAATCCTGTTATTATCCTAAATGAGCAATGAGACACAGACTTGTATAGCATATTAACAAACTGTCAGACTGATACACAGTCTAACACTTTATATTGTAGCTAAACAATTACAGAATCACAACTATACACACATACACTAAGCGATGAGGAGATCTCGCCAACATTATGTACTTAATTAATTAAATGAGTAATAATTCCTTAAAGAAATTTTTTTAAAAAATAATTTGATCACTCAATCCACGACTGTTTGTGGGACACTGCTGTGTGCAATTGGCAGCCACATTTCGCCTGCAAAACACACAGTCACTACACTTTACAGTGTATTCTGTGAAGTGTTTTGAGATATCTCTTTGAGATAAGGCGCTATGTCAAATGCAACGATTATTATTGTTATTACATCTGGAGTATGTTTTTTTTGGGAGGGGGGGAGGTCAGGGAGGTTAATCCTCAAAGCATTCCCTCACAACAACAATTGCATATATATAGTGCCCCTCATACAGGGTAGTGTTTCAGAGCACTTAACAGTGGCAAAGCAAGATGCCAACCTGGAGGGAGGGCGAAGGTGACTGTAAGCACAGTCGAAGAGGAAGATCATCAGACGCGACCTGAAAATGGGGAGGAGGGGACATGGAGGAGGGATTGAGGGAGAGTGTTCCAGAATTTCAGGGTGTAGTGTCTGAAAGCATGGCTGCCAATGGTGGAGCAGAAGACACGAGGGACAAGCAAATTAACCAAAAAGATCCTACCTATAGTCCTCAGTATCACAGAACTCCTCTTTCCTAATCCTGGCGAGAACTGTTCCGCCTTCCAGCCGCAATCCAACCAGCCGTGTGTCTTCCAGTACGCACTTCATCATTGTCTTGTGCTTGGTAATGAGATCAACGACTTCCTGAGAAAAGCAGGGTCTGGATTTCACAATGGCTCACTTCCTGCTCCCAGAAAGACTGGGTGTATACAACACATGATCACCCAGTTGACACTCCCCCATAAAAAATGAGTTAAATGGGTACTCTGTAAATCTGCTCTCAAATTTGCAGGGTATTATGTCCAAGGGTGCCGTGACACACCTATCCTCCAAAAACTGCAATGCTTTGTTAATATGGAATGCACTGCCTCATGGGGAGGGGTAAGAGTGAGTATAATATGCAGGAGCAAACATGCAGAATCCATTGGGTGGGTACTTGGGAATTTGGTGTATTTAGAAATATGAACGAAAGCTGGGACCATTTCTAACTTTAATAACCTTATTGTAAAACATAACGCAGCATCGAATCTGTTAAGAAGCATCACCAGTTTGTGAAAAGTGTTTTATTTGTCATAATATCAAACAAAAACAAAAACGGAAGCACATCTGCTCCGAGGAAGAAACATGCAGTGTGGAGAGAGGTTACCTGTTCAGTGCCGGGTATTTTGCTGGCATTCAGGCTGTTGATGGAAGTTTGCAGGTAGATGAGGGCTTCTCGACAGCCCATCATGAATGGCTCCAACTTCTGTAATGGCACAAAAAAACAACTGTCTTATAGCAGTTTGCTAAAATACGGTTGCATTAGTTACACAATACAGTAGTTTTTTACCTCCCAATACCAGGGGCACTGAGATCCATCACTGAATGGATCCTCACACTCGTGTTCAAATCCCTTCACTCTCTGGCACCTCCCTAGATCTCCGACCTCCTCACTCCCCAATCCACCGCCTCCGCTCGACTGGCACTGGCCACCTGCTCATCCCTCGCACCCTCCACCCCACCATCGGAGGTCGCGCTTTCAGCCACTACGCGTCGAAACTCTGGAACACTCTCCCTCAATCCCTCCAACTTTCCACCCCTCTCTCCTTTTTCAAGTCCTGCTTGAAAATCTTCCTCTTCGACCATGCTTATGGCCTCCTCCGCTTTCCACCATCCCGCCATTCCCAGCTCGGAGTCAGGCTCCGCCACTGTTAAGCGTTCTGAGACGCTACGCTGCGTGGAGGGCACTATGTAAGTGCAAGTTGTTGTTGTGAGGACTATTATGAGGACTATTCCTGTCCCCAACCTGCTGGAAATCAGCTCATTCAGTGCAGACCTAGGCTCAAATAAACCTTCCTAGTCTGTATGACCCAGTTCCACACAGAGCAATGCCTGTATCAATTGAGGGGCAACAAATACTTAAAATGCTAGAAACCTAGCTCAAAGTTATCAAGCTCTTCAGTCGCAGAATTTAATGGCGCAGTAACTGTATTTAGACATCAGAAAGCGCTCAAAAGAGGCTGTTTTAGAAAGTTTTATAAGTTACGAATAAGCGCGAGTGAAAACAAGAGGCAGTTCAGAGGCTGGGTTCATGCCAATGCCAGATCCGATAAATGGCAATAGAACCTGCCAGCAGATTGTTCCCTTAATTTCAAACACCATTACTGGAATCTCCTCGGTTTTATCAATCTCATTCACTTTCAAGTTCAGTGAGTCAGTGCTGAACAATGTTGCCAATCCTTGTACATATACATGAATGACCCCCATTAAAAGCACACAGTACAAGACTGATGCACCTAATTCTCAGAGATTTGGAATACCTAGGGATCGAGTGGACCATTATCCTCACCAGTTCTTAGATTCAATTCCAGCCTTGATTGATGGGGTTGAAAGTCTCTTCTCATTAAATTGGCTGCAGGGTTATTGCATGAAATCAGTTTGTACAGTTTCAACCAAGCCACTACTGTTTATGCATCCACAGCATAAACTGCTGAGAATTAAACACTCTGGAATCTCACTCTGAGATGTCGCAAATGTTGAGATGGTTAGTGTGATATGAGATTGTCAGTGTGGGATATCCAATAGATTATGTGGATATTAAGATCATGGATGTTAGCATTGAAATGCTTTGACATTTCGGACACCCTTGTGAATGTCAAGCATTAGGTTCAACACGTTTACATGGAGAGGAAAGGTCCCTCATCTAGGCCCCAAACAATGTGCTCCTGGCCTAACCACAGAGCAAACACTGTACTCCACCACCGTGATATTTTCCAGCAGCACATTGACCACCCTGTGGCCTGACTTGGGTGAGATTGAACAAACATTAATGTTAGAATAAGCAATTTCATGCTGTGAACTACTAGGAACACCACATAATATGGTAGAAATTCCACCGGGATCTATATTTATTCCATTTTATTAGCAATCACCCACAAAATACACGGTCACTACAATTTACAGTATATCCTGTGAAGCGCTTTGATACGACTCAACAACATGATAAAGTGCTATATCAAATGCAAGGATTATTATTATTTCAGAGCATGCAGAATTTGGCAAATTGTTAAAAACTGCCTCAATTTTAAAGCCAAATTTCTGTAAGTTCTTTCAAGAGCCAGGAGAAAAAGACAGTTTCAAAGATAAGACTGAATTCAAGAATTTGCCAAATCCTAGACACTCTAAGTGCTAAATAAATAGAGTAAAACTAAACGCAGGTGGAAATTCTCCCCCTGAAGCCACGAGACAGAAGGCTTTCATCCATCCTATTTGTCTGGACAGGATTTAAACCTCTGTAAGTACCAGATGTGAAATGGTAACATCTAAGACATTGCACCAACAACCTCTCCCCCTCTGCCTCCACATTGTTTTCGAAAGAAATATTTGAATATGCGCTAGTCTTCAAATTAGCCACCCAACTCCATTCAGGCTGAATTGACAGCAAACAGAGCATTGGTGACTGTAAATTAATACCTTATTTAATTTCCTTTCATTACTCTGAGATGTCATCCGAGTACAGTAATTATTTATTCAGTCAGTCATTAATACACATATAACTGCTCATTCCTCTGACTCGCTTGAACACATTTTGGATAATCCAGCCCCGCCACCCCCCAATTTCCATTTCTTGGAAATAATAAATAATAATCCTTGCATTTGATGTAGCACCTTATCAAGTCGTCTCAAAATGCTTCACAGAATATACTGCAAAGTGAATCTGACTAATCTATCGCAGCATGCAAATTTATTCTTCAGATGAGGCATTAACTGATTAGCTTATTACCTTATGAAAGTCGTGCTCCTCCACTACGAAGCTCTCTGGGACACTACCCTGCATGAGGCGCACTATATAAGTGCACGTTGTTGTTTTTACTATTCAGGTGGATGTCGAAGCTCTCGTGACATAATTTAAAAAGAGAAAGGAGATTCTTCTAGTGTCCTGGCCAGCAATCCTCCAGGTAAAAATGGGCAGTCACTTCATGGCTGTTTGTGAGACATTACTGTGCGCAAATTGTCTGTCGCATTTCTTTGACCTACAAAACACACAGCTACTACATTCTGTAAACCCTGTGAAGTGCTTTGAGACATTTCAATAATGGGCCAAGGTGCTATATCAAGGGCAAGGATTATTATTATTTTTTTATAGTACCAACCATACGGAAGCGGATCCAGTCGTCGTGATTGTGCCGGAATGTTCCATCAAACTCCTGTGTCAGCTGACTGCTGTCAACGTGCTTGTGTAAAGCTTTCAACGATGTCAGGATTTCATACTGTGTTGAGGACAAAGAGGGAAATAAACATTAATTAACACTGGCTTTGGAACAAGAGATCACAATGCGTGCGTGCACACAAATGCCACAACTTCCTATTTGAGCAAACAGGTCACTGAAAATACTTTATACCTGGACAGCTGTATCCCTCTCAGGTCTGAATGCGGATTCCTTTTCCACCAAAACCAGGACAGAGTTTATGGCATTTGGAATGGCAACCTTGAAGAATGATAAAAGAAACAAACATAGCATCACTGAAAGCAAGCAATTGGTACACATCACAATTAGATGAGGGTTCGTGTCACTGCGCTCTTGATAAATCTTCCTTCCCAGACAACAGTACCTTTATGTTCAGACTTGTTAAGTTGTATTCTGATTCCAAATGCACAGTTCAAGGTTCAAGGTAGCCCATTGCTACCACATCCACCTACCCACGGTGATCCACATATGCTGCCTAATCATCAAGTAACCTTACGTTCAGAATCTTTCTAATTATTCTCTTTTCCTCCCTCTAAAAATGAAGAATGCAGCGGGCCCTACAATCATCAGTAATGATTTCCTAGTTGTTAGCTGACGTCCATAATCAGTACTTTGTGCAGACACATGTAACACATTGCCAAGGTACTGAGGTTTGCACAGATTAGCTCCAATCACTGAGGCACTGTGAACCTTGAACTGTGCATTTGGAATCAGAATATAACTTAACAAGTCTGAACATAAAGGTACTGTTGTCTGGGAAGGAAGATTTATCAAGTGCACAGTGACATGAACTCTCATCTAATTGTGATGTGTACCAACTGGCAACCCAAAACAAAACAAAGACCTGACTTACTGATAAGTAGAGGAAACAGAAATTTCAATTATCTTCATTCAAAAACAGTAATGTACAGACAATTAAATCACATTTGATAAGGGCTGCTTTGCTCATCTCAGTATTGGCACAGATAAGTACCATTGACACAAACCATACTGGGGAGCAGTTTACCAAATTAATTAGACCCAAGTATTCTAAGAATGAGAGGTTTGTGTGTAACCGTAGTTGAAGGCCATAGTTCCAAAGTTACCTTTAAATACTAAAAGTGCACTTTGCGTCAGACTATAATGATTCAGACAAATCAACTAAATATAGGATACACAGAATAGTTCTCCCTACCCCGCTTACTGTTTTACATATCCATCCAAGGAATGGAGGAAAATAGAGACATCTAAAATGTTCATTTATAAACTGGATTTGTATTCTTAACCACGATAACAAGCTAGCAAAAATTGCAAATTATAAATCTAGAAGCATTTTGCTCTTTCGGGCTTTGTTCAGACTTGGCCAGCTTGGAAGTTGCAATTCACTCAAAGTGAATCTGATAGTTTTGCAATCTGATACTTGCCACACCAGAGGTTGCAGTTAACACAACATTTTTTTGGTCAGCCGAGTGTCTCACACAGGCGGAAACCCATCACCATGCTTAAGAGTATCCAAACCAAGCTGAGATTTCCATGCATCCCACCTACACATGGAAATCCCAGAGTTAGATTGTTGGAATAGAATGCGCACTCTCTCCCTGAAGGGACACATCCTGCTTACCTAATTCCGGAAAGTATTAGGTGCAGGTTGGCAAGAGTCAAGGATTAGGAATGCCAGAGTGTACATTGGGCACTGCTGGAGTACACCCAGCTAAACCCGCATAGCTTGTCATTGAAATCGGTGCCTGGCAAGTTTTTCTGCTGCTTGTCCAGCGAGGATCACCTTACCAGTTAGGGCTTTGGCTTTCAGGGTTAATAGGAGCTGAGTAGGAAGAGTTCTCAGTGACTGTTTTGCCATAACAATTCCATTGAGCCATCCTGGCTGTCGTCAGCAGTGCTCTGGAGTACTGCGGACCTGCCTGGCTCAGAAACTGGATGATGGAGACCACCGCAGAGAGCCGACTCGATTCTAACATTCAGTAATAAATGTGCCACCTTGGAACCAGTTCAGCTCCAAGGAAATCCCGCTTAGCACCCACCCCCCAACCTCCACCCCAACCCTGAGGATAGTCATGAGTTGGTCATTTAACATTCCACAAAATCCAGTTTGAGAATCGCACCTTTTACATCCCACAAAACAAAGTTTAATTGTTAAAAAGTCTCCAATGCCAGAATTTCATGTTTACCTTCATTCTATTCTGTTGTTGACAGTTCTCTCCCTGTCTCGATCTCCACTAAAGGCATCGTGTGTATGACTCCATGCTCGCTGGCTAACATCCAACCCCTCCCATAAGTGTCCAACCTTCATGCGTGAACTCAGTCAGAGATGGCAGGCTGTTCAACCGTGGGGATCATCACAGCCAAACTCAATCCTATCCTCACTTGACATTCACACACAAACATTTAACAAAACTCAGCACAGACTGAGAGTCAAACTTATGAGGATTTTTTTTTTTTTTCGTTGAGCACTTTTTGAGCCCCGTTACCTCTAACAACAAAAACATGCATTTATAAACCTGCCATCACATTGAATAACATCAGGGAACATATCACAATAGTGGGGTTGGGCGCCAGGCAAAGGAGACGGGGAGGTGATGATAGGCACAGTTAAGAAAGTAGATTTTAAGGTGGGATTTAAAGATAGAGGTGGCAAGATGGAGAGATAGAAGCAGGGAGTTACAGAGGTCAGAGACATGGTATTGGAATAGTATGGAAGCAGGTCTGTGTTAGTTGAGTGGAGGGGGTGAAGAGAGGTGTGGGGTACAACAACACAACAGCAATAACAACTTGCATTTATATAGTGCCCTCCACCCCGGGTAGCATCTCGGAGCACTTAACAATGGCGGAGCCCGAGGCCGAGCCAGGGGGAGGGGGAAGGGGACCGTAGGCGCAGTCGAAGAGGAAGGTTTTCAGGCACGACCTGAAGATGGGGAAGGAGGGGGCGAGGCAAAGGAGTTGAGGGAGGGAGGGTACAAGCAGATCCAACAGATAGGAAAATGCTAGGGCGTGAAGAGATTTATATGTGTGGGTGAGGACCCTGCAGTTGAATTATGGAAAGGAGCTCGCCCAGCCAGTAAGGGTTCAAAAGAATATGAAATTAATTTCCCATAGGATAAAAGAGTGTATTCATCTGCAAGTAACCTCTCCGGGCCTTTGCCAAACACAAGACAAATACTCATTTGTTGCTGAGTGCATTGTTGTCATCATTTAGGAAACTGTGTAGACAAGAGCTGTCTAATGGCATTTCTTGACATTGATAGATGCAGTTAGTTTTACAGCGATGAGGAAATGGCATATCTTTTTCCCTTTGTGCACCTCACTATGAACATAATCCTTACACATCAACAGAGGGCAGTGAATGAATTGCAAAGGTGTTACGCAATCCAGGTGTGTTCAAATCCCCAGTGATCCGGATTATCTGAGCCCACGGGAATTGTGCGACTGCCTTGAAATCTTCATCTTTTGTTATTTATTGTTTCATATCTCACTTTCTGCTGGTAGCGAGTTATTCATCATGAGTCTAGCAAAAGGCTATTTAATACAAGTTGGACTGGGATACAATGGAAACACAGTGCTATTCACTATTATATTGGATATAATGTTGCATTCTTATTCTGGCTTCACAAGACAATACATATGTCAGTGAAATTTTAGCCCAGCAGAAAAACAGATTATTTGGAAATGTTTAGATTCTTTCTTACGGATATCCTAACTTATGTTCTCTTCCTAAACCAGGTTCATAGCATAATCAAATGAATCCACCCAGCCAGAATTGGCAAGCACTTCTGGATATCCTCCCAACGTGAAAGGCACAATATATAAATGTAAATTGCATTACATTGTAATATGCTGCTTATTATTTATGGGAAGCGCTTGTCAGATGTCTAATAATGAACTAGTGACTATCCTCCTACGGGAATGGTAAGCAGGATCTCTTTGGGTCTGAGCAAGCTCCAAGGTAACTGCCTGGCAATGAAAGATCAGATTTGAGTCTGAGATTTGAGTCCTCTGAGATGGTTTCAGTAGTCAGGCTGAAGCTAGCTAGGACTGAAGACACTTACAAAGACAGTTAAAGCTGACTGTCAAGCTTCCTGTGCACTGCACACATAACAGGAAGACAATCAGTTTGCGATGTAAAGCAGAAGTGCACAACAACAAGATTCCATTTATAGAGCGCCTTTCACGTCGGGAGGACGTCCCAAGGCGCTGGACAGTTGGGTCGGGACCCGAGCAGGGGGGAAATGGTCAGGGTGAGGGGAGGGAAGGGAGGGAGCGAGGAGGGGGTAGAGAGTCGAGAGGAGAGCTGAAGGCACAGTTGAAGAGAAAGGTCTTGAGACCGGCCTTGAAGGAGGAAAGGGAGGATGGCGGCGAAGGCACTGGGGGATGGAGTTCCAGAGCCTGGGGGCTGAGAGGCTGAAAGCCCGGCCACCGATGGTAGGGCGGTTAGGGCGGGGGATGTGGAGCAGACTGAAGCCAAAGGAACGGAGGGTATGGGCAGGTAACAACAACAAGATTCCATTTATTGAGCGCCTTTCACATCGGGAGGACGTCCCAAGGCGCTGTACAGTTGGGTCAGGACCCGAGCAGGGGGGAGGGAAGGGAGGGAGCGAGGAGGGGGTAGAGAGTTGAGAGGGGAGCTGAAGGCACGGTCAAAGAGAAAGGTCTTGAGACCGGCCTTGAAGGAGGAAAGGGAGGAGGCGGTGAAGGCACTGGGGGATGGAGTTCCAGAGCCTAGGGGCTGAGAGGCTGAAGGCCCAGCCGCCGATAGTAGGACGGTTGCGGCGGGGGATGTGGAGCAGACCGAAGCCAGAGGAACGGAGGGTACGGGCAGGTAGGTAGGGGGATAGTAGGTCGGAGAGGTAGGAGGGTGCAAGGCCGTGAATGGCTTTGTAGGTGAGGATGAGGATCTTGAATTCGATCCTCTGGGGGATGGGGAGCCAGTGGAGGCGAGCGAGGGTGGGAGTGATGTGGTCCCGAAGTCTGGTGCGGGACAGTACATGAGCTGCAGAGTTCTGAATGACCTGCAGCTTGTGGAGGGAGGTGCCGGGAAGGCCGGCGAGGCGAGAGTTCCTGTAGTCCAGCCTTGAGGTGATAAAGGCGTGGACCAGAGTTTCAGCAGCGTGAGGGGTGAGGTAGTGCCATAGTCTGGCGATGTTCAGGAGGTGATGGAAGGCGGTGCCAGTTGTGGCGCGGATATGAGGAAGAAAGGACAGCTCAGGGTCGAACAGAACCCTGAGGTTCCTGACTGGCTTTGAGAGGTGGAGAGTGCAGCCTTGGATGCTGATGCTGTCAGCGCCTGAGGTGCGGAGGCGCTGACGTGAGCCAATCAGGAGGGCCTCAATTTTGCGCACGTTGAGCTGAAGAAAGTTTTCCCTCGTCCAGGACTCGATGTCGGACAGGCAGGCTGTCAGGACATCGGTGGTCGTGGAGTTGAGGGCAGAGGAGGAAAGGTAGAGTTGGGTGTCATCCGCATACATGTGGAAGTTAACCCCACGTCTGCGGATGATGTCACCAAGAGGGAACATATAGAGAGTGAAGAGGAGCGGACGGAGGACAGAGCCCTGAGGGACACCGCACGAGACAGTGCGGGGGCTGGAGGAAAAGCCATTTGCAGAGACAAAATGAAGACGGTGGGAGAGGTATGACCTAAACCACTCAAGGACAGGGCCTTGAAGGCTGAGGTGGGAGGACAAGCGGTGGAGGAGGATAGAGTGGTCGACCGTATCGAATGCGGCCAATAGGTCGAGGAGGACGAGGAGGCAGAGGGAGCCCTGGTCGCAGATGGTCAAGATGTCATTAGTGACCTTGACCAGGGCGATTTCCATGCTATGGGCAGCATGGAAACCCGACTGGAGGGGTTCCAAAAGTGAGTGGGTGGAGAGGAAAGAGCGCAGCTGGGAGGCGACGACTCTTTCGAGTACCACACAATGAGTAGCCATAAGTCCACAGGACACTCGTGTTATAAACAAACTGGTGCTTTAGTGAAGTGAAGCACCTTATAAAGAGGGTGCCCTTATTGCAGAACTCTCAGTAGTATGTATAGCTTGGGAGACTCATGCATGTGATAAGCGTGGTTCCATATATCTCAGATACCCCCAAAGACATTATGGTAATTTGCTGAAGCAGTCCTATTAATAAAACCATCCACCATCACTGATCAATTACACTTTCATACCCTTATTTTTACATGAAAGGTGCTGTATAAATAATAATCCTTCCATTTGTTATAGCACCTTATCAAATCATCAAAACGCACTTCATGGAAGTTACTGTAAAGTTTAGTGACTGTAATGTGTAGGCAAACGTGGCAGCCTATTTGCTCACAGCAATGTCTCACAAACAGCCAGAAAGTGAATGACCAGTTTGGCCAGAATTCCAGGAGAAACTCACTTCTCTTTTTGAATACTGCCATGGAACCTTTACCTCAGTTTAACATCACATCCAAAGGATATAAAATAAGGCATTGCTTCCCCAGCACTCTACTGGAGTGCTGGCCTAAACTACGAGCTCTAAGTCACGATCCTCTATCCTGTGTAAATAATTATTATCATTAATTTGGCCAAAGGAACAAGGACGTCCTCCTGACGTGAAAGACACTATACAAATGTAATTTGTTGATGTTGTCTGGAGTGTGAAAGGAAAGGCTAAGTAAAGATTTGAGACATGGGATGAAAAATGCTAACTTTGCAAACAAGTTCTGTTTAGAGCTGAGGTGTCAGGAGTCAATATGAGGAAAAACGATTCCCTACAGAAAGGGCCATTTACAGTGTGAGGTGCTTTTTTTCTGCCAGTGATTTTCATTCCTTGTTATCTTTCAGTTCAAGGGTAAACTGACCTGGAGCAATATCAAGTGAAAGGGAAAAAAAACAGAGACAGTTATGAGTGAGCTGTGGAAAATGCTCTGTGATAAACAGGAGCAAGCTTTGGTTAAAACTATAAAGTTACATGTAAGCAAAGGGATAAATAAGATTAGCACAATACTCAAGCAGGACTCAGAAAAGGCTGAAAACAGAAAGAAGTGTGTCACAAAGATAAAACACATCTACCCAAAGCAACCTGAAACAAATAGCAGCACAAACAAATACCAGTGAACACTGAAACAACTCGGATTTATATAAAGCTGCATAAACAAGCTCGGGCACGCTGCACTTGGTGATAGTGATCTAGCATTTGGCTATAAACACAGGAACAAAGCAAGGGCCACATGCAGAGTTGCCAAGTTCCAAAGTTAAATCTGGTGCAATTTACTGGATCGGATAAACAAATCCACAAACTCCCCCACACCATCTTCAAAATGCTCACCAAACAACCTCCAGATCTCGAGAGCTCGAAACCCATCTGAGATTTTTCTGAAGTTGCTGTGCTTTATACGGAACACTTTGCAAAAAAAGTGTAGCCTAGAAATTCTAACCTTAAAACACAAAGAGTTCCTAAAGTGGTTGTTAAGATATTAAACAGAATAGAGAAGTAAACCCAGAACAATACTTTTATTGAGACCAGCAGGACAAGAGGGCAGGGTTGCGAACGGCAAGTTTAGAACAGAAAACAGGAAGCATTTATTTTACACCAAAGGTAATTCATTGGCAGCAAAGCTAGAACAGTTTACCAGGAAGGGTGGTAGAGGCAGGGCACTGGGCCCATTTTACAAACACCCTATTTTAAAGTTGTTGGGATGGATATCATGGAACAACAAAATCAAATCAGCCAATGTACAATCATATAGCACCTTTCATAGTGGGAGGATGTCTCAAAGAGCTTAATAATGCTGGATGGGCACCTGAGTTAGAGGTTAGTAGAGCAGAGTAGGTTGGGAGTGGAAAGATAATTGAAAGCAAGTCACAGAGGTGCATTTTGAGACGTGTCTAGAAACAAGTATGCACCCAAAGCACTTGAGTGTAATTACTTATGAAGTATTTTGAGATTCTAGGTACTCTATCAAATGGATGAACTGTTATATTAAAAGAAACATAAATGGTCTGTGTGCTAGGTCCGGATCAACACTTGCGCTGTGATCTATCAACCAGCTAAATAGCCAAACAATAATCTTTGCACTGATCAACTTCCAGAACCAAGTGCGGAAAATTTAATTCTAGTCATAAGGACTTCACAGTGACCTCTCACCTGAAGTGCAGTAAAAGCTTTACACAAGACGAGTGCAGGCTGACACCTTCGGGCATCCAGCAGTACAGTCAGTCCCAGCTCACGCACTTCCTTCCTGCAGCAGAGACACAACACAAGCTTATTACAAAGTAAATATCAAATACTGGCCATTCAAACTCTGCCCTCGTGCACTTGATTTTTCACAACAACTGTATAAACACTGTACAAGCCATTTGTTTATTTTTCACAAAATACTTGTGAGATTATTTTTGTGAGTTTGCTCAGTCTGTGTCAGCTGCAACAAGTCAGGAATTTTGACTTTAGTATTGCAGTCTGAACCTCCCACACCCCCCGCCCCCCCCCCCCCCCCAACTCTCTCCGTCAGGGATGAGGGCGCCTGGATATTCTATGAGAGGAAACTGAGCAGGAAGGGATTCAGTCTCGCACGGCACAAGGATGTTTCCTGCCGGTGAGCTGAGCAGCAAGTAGAGATGACATTGACCACGGTGGTGGCTGCAGCACAGGGATTTCTGCATCATTCTTCAGGGGATATATGCACCCTCCTATGAGGGGCATCCACAATCCCAATAAGGTTTCCATGTTATAGTGCCACTGTTTACAAACTGAGGGGCAGATATCCAAGGTAATACCTCCCCCATATAAAAAAAATAATAATAATCCTTGCATTTGATATAGCGCCTTATCACGTCTTCGAGACGTCTCAAAGCGCTTCACTGAATACACTGCAAAGTGAATTGACTGTATATTTTGTGGACAAAATGCAGCAGCCAATTGCGCACAGCAGTGTCCCACAAACAGTCATGGATTGAGAGATCAATTTTTTTTCTTGAAGGAATTAGTCGATTGTCAGAAATGATCTGCCAATCGACTAACAATTGGGTTCCTACTTACTTATCTCTCCATTGTGCAGGGGTATTGGAGTTGGTATTTACTACCTGCATTTACTACCCGCATTCTGAGCCCACCTTGCCTTAGCCTGTAAGCTCATATTCTGCCTTAAAATTTGGAAGCCGGTTTTCTGGAATTTTCAAAAGGAACCGGCTTCAAAATTAAGAATGGATTGAAGGATTTTCCACAATTCTACACAATCTTAAATTTTGGGACAAAATTGTTTTACAGGCTAGCACCAAGTGGAATTTCAGCCTGTAGTTGGCAAGCTGTAAAAGGCATGACAAGAGGAACAAATGAGTTATGGACAGACTGCGTGACCAACACAGCTAATGGTGAATTCCAAGGGAAATATTTGTGCATTTCCTGTTGTACTGCTTCAAAGGCGAAGATCTTAGCTCTGCTGTTTATTCTTTACCACTCTGAAAAGGTCAGAAATCTTATCACGGCACATGGAATCAAAAATAGGTTACTGCAGATTTCCTGCACCCTCCGCAGCCTTGTTACACAGTACTCCCTCTCACCCGGCCCCATCATCTGCTCCTAGAAAACTTGCCTGGTATCATAATGATACAGCAGCTTGTCATGTTGTTAGTTATTTTCTGATCTTAAACTCTAATCAGACTTCCCAACGAGACACCTGGGTTCAATTCCAGGCAGGGCAAAACCTTGGGCAAGTTTCCTTACTCCACACGCCTAATGATAATCCCTCCAAAAAACCAAAAGCAACAATAAATTCGTTCTTTTCAATCCACGACTGTTTGTGGGATACTGCTGTGTGCAATTGGCAGCCGCGTTTCACCCACAAATATACAGTCAATTCACTTTACAATCTATTCTGTGAAGTGCTTTGAAATGTCGAGAAGAAAAAGCGCTATATCAAATGCAAGGATTATTATTATTATAAATAAAAGCTCCGCTTGCCAATATTTCCTCTCCTGTGTCCCTTTCCTCCCCTCGGGGCCCATTTATTATTTCGCCAACAAAATATACAGTCAATTCTCTTTACAGTATATTCTGTGAAGCGCTTTGAGATGTCTCGAAGACGTGATAAGGCGCTATATCAAATGCAAGGATTAGTATTTGTTTGTTAGCATACGTTACTGGGCGAGCTTGCCTTTCCTCCACTGCTTAGCAAATGTACTGACCTTGGAGGCGAGAGCTATTGCTGGAAAATTCCCATTGTAAGCTAATGCCACCAATGGTTTCAACGCCAATGCTTTTTGTCTGCCAATCCTCACTCCTCTGAAGGCATTTTCAAAATCCTTTTGGATTCTAGTGAAATATGGTTCTATAGCTATCAAGGACCCTCCAGATTCTCACTCCACTGAATCATTATGCAGGCTTGATCCTCGGTAGTGAATGCAGGCAGGCTATCTAGCCTTGGGGTGGGAGGCAAAGAAATACAGCATTGCTCATTCCTTATCTGCCACCAGCAATGGTGTCCATCTCTCCAAAATCCCATCACGCCCTATGCCTCTTCTCCCTGCCTTCAAAAACCATCTTAGAAGCCTCTATTTTTGACTACTTTTGCTCAACATCCTCAAACTCGGACGATCTCCACAATACAATACAATAATTTACATTTATATAGAGTCAGGAGGACGTCTTAAAGCGCTTTACATCATCTTTGTAAACGCTTTGGAGACACTATCCATTGCATAAGGTTTTACAGAAGCCAAGCTGTTGTTGTAAGCACCTCCCCCCCATCCCCTTGCAATCGTCTCCATTAACATTTATTTTTACATTACAAGTTTGCTTTCAGCTCAACAACGTGGAATGAAACGTGGACAAATGTCCCAGCTGTTCATTTAGCTGAACCTTTCTCAGGCTTTGCCTCCACAGTGAATTCCTCTCTCTTCAGAGGAAAAGCTGTAGCGCTGAAGTGAGAGGACAAGGAGCCTTTACTTGCACGTGAAAACTTGCCACAGAATAAAAATACCAACAAATATTTGACTGACTTCATACATCCTGCATTGAATATGCTGAGATTAGCGGGAAAATCCGTTCTTGGGCAAAAAGCATAGCTGCAAACAGACACACTAGAGTGTAAAAAATTCTCCTGGGAGAACAAAGTTAATCGTATCAACCCAGCTTCGCTCTTGTATTTAATTGAGAATTATGCTTGTGCTCTCTCTCACTCTCTTCTCCCTTGTTGGTCTCCATCTATACGTTATTCTGAACGAATTCCAGTTTGACTGCTCTGCCGAAGTTGTTCAGATTGATTTACAGGCCCTGGCAGTCTCTAAAATGTGTAGTCTGCAGTGCAATTACTGTTTGCTTCACATGCAAAGAACACTTACTTTTCAAAGCAAGCCTGCACTGCACCCTATTCAAATTTACAATGTTCTCATCAAGCAGAACCAGTGTTCTGGAACACATCAAATCATATGTTTTCAAGCTGAAATAAAGCTTCAAATTGCCTGGTCTATTACACTGTTGTCTTGACTTGCAGAAACTAAGGTCGGACTTGCTGTTGTATACTCAGTGACCTTTATAATTCCACAGAAGAAACAATGCAAGTAGCTATCAAATCAATATTTGTGATGGGGTCCCTGATTACACCAAAATTTTAAATTGAACAAGGTACTATTTTCACAGACCCAGTTGGTAACCTTAATAAGGAATAATAATTCTTGTATTTGATATACACCTTTTAGTCAGGAGAATGTCTCTTCACAGAATGTATTGCAAAGTGTAGTTACTGTGCATTTTGTAAGTGAGTGTGAACCTGTTTGCTACCCTTACTGCTGAGAGTGAAACTGAACCAGACAGAAAGTTCGAAATTCCTCCTTGTCTTAAACAAGTAGGAGATTTTACCTTTAAATTTAAGATTGTGTAAAAGTACAGAAAATTCTTACATTCAGCCTTAATTTGGAAGCCGACCTGTGTTAAGAACTGTGACAAACAAACTTTAAAAGTAAGGCTGAATTATGATGTTTCCACAATTTTGCACAATCGTAATTTTTAAGAAAAAATTATAAATTTTGGGCATTGTTGAGAAAAGCAATAGAAAGACAGAATATTTGCCTACATATACACAATCACTACATTTAACAGTAAAGTGCTGTGAAGTACTTTGAGATGTTTTGACGATATAAGGCACTAAAATCAAATGCAAGGAGTATTACTATTATCTTGCAGGGGGCAAAATGAGAAACAAAATGCTATTCAGTGAACTTTTGTTTATTTTTAAACACAATGTTCAACCATTTTCTGCTTCAAGTTCCATTTAGTGTTTGATCTGCTGCAGCACCTCTGTTTTCCAGAGTTGTAAAGTGCTTCTAATTCACAGATGTTTTCTAAATCTCCAGATTGGGAAACATGCATTGACATCAGTTGCTGCCTGAGCCAGCACACCTGCACTCCAGCCACTTTGACTATGCAAACAGACTTATTTTTTTGCTGCTGAGGCTGTTTGACTCAGAATTTGTGTTTTGGTACAAGGTGAAGAGTTTTTGAACTTGAAGCTACTTTGGGGGTTATTCGGATCTGTCGACTCCATGTAGCAGATTCATTGATTTGTGCTTCTCAAGGAAAGCATGAAAGAAAGAACAAACAAATGACTTTTTTTTAGCACCTTTCCAAATCATTTTATGGTAATTTCTGTCAAGCACAGTGACCATTTTTATTGACAAATTCAGTATCCTTTTAGCACACAGCTGAAATGATGTGCTGAGGTTAGGAAAATAATTGAGTGTATGTTTTGTTCCTCGCCCAAATGCATTTAAGAGATTCTAGTGAAGTATCGGCTAACATACTGCACATTTATGTTTGAGTGTTAACTGCGCCCAGGCTGATGTGCTGAAAGTTTCCTCTCTTGGTTAACAGCAAGGATATGAATATTAATCAAGAGCTGCAACTGCCTGCTCTTTCCCCGTCTCTACCCCAGAAACTCTGAGCTAAGCGGAGGTTGAATATAATGTGTGGTTGGGGAGTCTCAGCTCAGCTTCAGATGGATGCACTCCCACAGAACAAAAAAAAGTTCTTATTATATTTCAGCAACCTAGCACTCTCATTCCAAGAGATCTCAATGATGGCTGGTGTGAGAGATGGAAAATTTTACACTGGTCCTCTCTTATGAGGCTCAATAATAATAATAACCCGTGCATTTGGTACAGCCCCTCATCACATCGTCGAGACATCCCAAAGCGATTCTCCGAATATGCTATAAAGTGAATTGACTGTATATTTTGTGGTTGTGCTTTGAAGTATGGTTGTCAAGATTTACTCAGTATTAACAGGTTCGATATCCGATCCAGGAATGTTTAGTGTTGACATTGGGATTTAGTTTGCAAGGATTCATAAATACCCAGCTCATACCCGGATGTGTCTTGCCCTAACCTGCGAGAACTTCCGTCGGATCGAGTCTTATTTCCAATTCCTGTGAAGTCTGATTGCAGCCACCAGGGTATCGGCATCCAAATGGAGGCTAAGTTGGTTGGTGTGATATGAATAGATAGGTCTAGCATTCAATATTTTAACATCCTTTCACAATTAACACAAATTAGACCCCAGTGGGTTCCTACAACTCACTTCATGCCCTAGCTCCTTCCCATTTCTCCAACATGCTTACATCCCAAACCTCTAAGCACCCTCTCCATTCAGCTGGCTTCATTCAAGCTTCTGCACGTCCCTCATGCCCTCGCCTCTACTATCGGAGGCAATGTTTTCAGCCTCTACCGCTCTGAAATTGTAGAACTCCCTGCCTCAATGCCTCTGCATTGCTCCCTCTTTGCCCATCTTCAGATCACACCTGAAGTCCTTCCTCTTCGATTATGCCTATGGTCACCTTCTCTTTCTCCTCCGGCTCAGCATCAAGCTCGACCGCTGTTAAGCACTCCGCACGCACTGTATAAATGCAAGTTGTTGTACTTGAACAAGGTAAAGGTATAATTTCTCAAATGAGTAAGAAATAAAATCACCAAAAAATAATGTAACTACCCCTTTCCCAACCTACTGCCTCCCTATCTCATCACCAGAAATTTCAACATTTAGTCACAGTGGATTTATGCATTTACTGGTTGAAGTAGAATTAACCACCCCATTCTCTGCCTCCCTCTCCTGAGGGCTGAGCTAGAGGTTAGGGACGGAACAGAAGCACATGGCGAATCGACCACATGTGGAAGTCATACCTGGGGATGGTGCAGTAGTACATGAGTAGATGGGTCACCTCTGCACTGTTGCAGTTTGAGTTCACCCAGCTGATGTTGCGTGTACACACGTGGATCACAGCTCGACCACCCTTGTCTCGATTTCCTTTATTATTAAAACAATAATAATAACTTGCACTCATATTGTGCCATTGATGTAAAAACAAACATCACAAGACACTTTACAAAATAAAGACTGATGAGAAATGTGCAGTGAATGTTGTGATATAGGCAAAAGTGGCAGCTAATCTGGGTCCGCAACTCCCACAAACAACAATGAGATGAGAGCCAATTAATATGAAATTTGGGGGAAATTTAAGATTTTTTAAATGACTGAATTCAGATTTTTTTTCTTATGGATCAGACTGCAGAGTGGATGAAGAACATGAAGCAGATCAGTGCAGGTCAGAGGGAGTGGACGGGCAATATGGTCACAGAGGTAGGTAAAATAAGTAAGTAGTGGAAGCAGGAAAGGACAGAACTGTGGAGGTGGCGCATGAACGGTGAAGAAGGATAGATTGGTTCATAATGCTGAAGGTAGCAAGATGAACGAGGAGAAGAAGGAGCAAACAGAGCTGGACACAGATGCAGATGCAGAGGATATCGTTGGTGACTTTGAACAGAGGAGTCTCTGTGTTATGGATTTGGAGAGTCACGGAGGGTGTGGTGGGTGACAAAGGTTGGGTGAATTCTCTCCCTGCTCCCACCCCTCCCACCAACGCAACTTTAGTTTTGCCCAGCCCTGATGAAGAACATGTTTTGTGAAGGGTAACTCAGGTTTGCTATTACAGCCCTGGCCACTGGGACAGTGATTAAACTCTAATTACTAGACAGTCTTATAATTTAGCTGCATCTGCTGATGGCTTCTCATGTAACCATTTTACCATTAGGTAACCATTAGGTAATGTAACCATTAGGTGCACTTTGATTACATTGCATTTTGTATGACAATCATCTTTTTCTTGTTCAATATCATTTTAGGAAAAAACACAATGTGACGGCATCTAACCACGGTCAACATTTGGTTTCAAATCATTCAGTGTTCTCAGTTTTGTTGTGGGTTCTTCTGGTAATACAATAAACAGGAACTTAATTCACAGACGTTTTAATTTGAAGCCCTCCAGTATTTATCATATTGTTTTTAATGATACTTTTATTTTATTGCCACGTCTTCTTTCCCTCCCGGTCCACCCCAGCATCTGCGATGGGGCCTTCAGTCTTTCTTTCCCATCCTCTGGAACTCCATCCCACAGTCACTTTGCCTCGCTCCATCACTTGCCTCCTTCAATGCCCGTCTCAAGATCCTTCTCTTCGAACGCGCCTTTGGTCACCCTCCTACCCCTCCCCTCCATGCCCTCCACCCTTCCTGATCCCAGCCTCCATCCCGGTTCCAAACCCTGACTGTCTAGCACCTTGGGACATCATCCCGACGTGAAAAGCGCTCTACAAATGTAATTTGTTGTTGTTGTTTGTTTTCACTGCTCCCAAAATAATCTTAAATCCATTGTCAAGGCTGTGAGTGTACACACCTGGTAACTGAGCAAACCCCGACTGCAGCAGATCGGAGTTGACCTTTGCTGCCGTGGTGGGCAGGTCGGTGCAGGACTGTGCGATGTGCTGGGCCTGCAGCACAACCTCACCACGAGGCACTGAAGAAGACGTCTCGGTGGCTGCAGGCGTCAGGCTTAGCACTGCTTGGCAGCTGCCCCTCCTCCGCATTTCCCTCGCGCAGCTCTGAGAGGAACCTGTGCGGAAAGTGATAGGATTTGGTGCAATTGGGTAATGTCACGAGAGCACGACGATAAATGAGTCATGACAGCACAGAGATAAACACGCTGGAACAGGACAATTCTTTCTGCTAATTTATGCAAATCTACATTATTAATACATTATTGGGCACAGCACCCAACATACAATGATTAATTTTTCAGTGTGGCATCTGTGCCATTCTCCTTACCCAGGTTCGTTGGCAACACAACAGTATCTGAAAACCGTTTTTCAGGACGATTCGAGATAAAACTCATGTTGCCATCTGGTAAAACACAAGTAAAACAAATAAAGTGTTCTTTCTAGTAATCATCTCCCATAGTCAAATACTAGGGTTGTTTGTCCTTTTGTATTTACACCATCATACATCCTTCCATAAATCAACCAGAACCACGTAAAACCAGATGTCCAATTGAAAAAAAAAAATAATCCTTGCATTTGATATAGTGCCTTATCATGTCATTGGGATGTCTCAAAGCGCTTCACAGAATATACTGTAAAGTGAATTGACTGTATACTTTATGATTGAAACACGGCAGCCAATTGCACACAGTAGACATGACCACTACTTGAAAAAAATAGGTACTCTACTTTCTGAGGATTTGTGTCAAATGAGCGATAGCTGTCTCACTCCTTCGGTATAACTTCTATCTTCACAGATAGATGTAGCTTCCACCAGCCAATATTGTGATTAAATAACACTGATGAGATATGTTCCCCCAAAAAATATTCATCAACTTCAATCTGTTTTCATAAATTTGGGGAGGGATAAAAATCGAGATGTGTTGAATCCTTGAAAGACACCTTAAGACTCAACAATCTTTGTAATAAACACAGGGAGATTCACAGTAAGTAGACTCCCAAAGTCAAACTTGAATGATGACTCTATTTAAAGGCACTTAAACAAAGCTGGTAATACTTTTTTGAAAAAGGTATGCTGCTATTTTTTGTGCTATGTGACCTCTGTAATTGCACCAACAGCATTAAGCTGAATCAGTTGGACAAGATCAAAGGTTAATGCAAGGGAATCATTGTTTCCCCATAAAGTGAGCCTTCTCGTGTGAGCGTTCCGATAAAGGTCTTTTCCCTTTTACACACACACAAGCTATTCAGCTGACAACTACAGATCTCTGAAACAATTTAAGGCCTATCTTCATGTCAGAACGACAACAGATTAAAGTGGTTCTGACAGGTGGAATCTTCATGCTAACTCATTCAAGAGAAGTAAAAGAGAATGGACATGTCAGAGTGGTTTACTCAGGTTTTAGGTCTTGCAATCCAGCTGATCCTGCATTACTGAATGTTTAGTCCGAGTAATATTGCAAGCCTTAAATAATCCATAGCACATCTGAGGAACCTTCAATGTGCAGTAGCCCTTGGAATGTGTGGATAGAAATTCCATCAGGATCTAGATTTCCTCTATTTTTGTAACGTTTAAGTGTGTGAAGAATTTGGAAAATTGTTAAATTCAGATGGAACTTTGAATCTTGTTTTCTGTAGTTGTAACAAGAAACCTACAGAAAACCAGATTAAAAATTAAAGACTATTTAAGAATTCAACAAATTCTGAACACTCTTGAAATAATTATAATAAATAACAATTATTCTTAAATTTGATATGGTTTATTTCACGTTGGGAGGATGTTCCAAATGACTTGACAGTATATATTTTAAAGTACAGTGACTATGTTTTTTGTTGTTGAAATATTATGCTAATAAGAGTAACTCTTAACCTAAGTGGAATTTTATCCCAGTGGATAGGATTTTGAAACCAACATTGAAAAACACATTGAAATGCCAGAACGAATATCAATAATGAATAACAACTGAATGCATGTGGTTAAGATTATGATAGTGCCTGTTAAGCACAAAGGATGCTGACAGAAAATGTCTGCCAACAACTGAAAGAGGTAGAGAGGAAAAAATTGCCAAATGGTGATGGGTTTCCATATGTTTTAGACACCCAGTTGACCAAAAAAAATATGCAGGAGGTGTCAAAGGTGAGTTCTGTCTTTGCTTATTGGTGTCAATAATTCGATACATTTCACTCAGGGTCACTGGATAGGGAAGGAGTGGGAGACCTGGTTGATTTTCCCCTCTCCTTTCCAGAGAGTTGGGGCTAATAGTACCAAAGACGATGGATCCAAAAGTGTAACCTTCATCTGTGTAGTCTTGTGCTCCACAGGCATTGGTTTCACCCACTAGGCTGTGAGAGACTCTTAACAACTTGCCTTTATATAGCACCTTTCACATAGGGTAAAGTCTTAAAGCACTTTACAGAGATGAAGCTGGAGTTCTAGCAGGGAAGGTAAGAGAGGAGGAGATGGCTACAGGCAAGGTCAAAGAAGATTTTGAAAGGCTTTTATAGACAGGTAGAGAAGGGGGCAAGGCAGAGGGATTTAGGGAGGAAGTGTCAGAGAATCGGTGAATAGTGGCTGAAATCTTAGCTGTCAATGGTGGGGCGGAAACAAAATGTTTAAGCAATATTACACAGCATGACCGCTGATGTCAGCTCACATACACAAAATGCTCATTTGAATGGGAACACTTTGCACTTATGTAAGCCTGCAATAGCATTTGCCAGCTATATCAGCAGGAGGGGAGAAAACTGGTAGAGGCGGAAAATAAAAGTAGGGCAAAACAATTGTAAATCGTGAAATGATGTTTATCGACTGCCATTGGCAGAAGTCTGTTGACGTACGAATCATTGCATCACTCTTTTCAATTCTTATCCCATATTTAACCATTATGAAGCCAACAATTATGTGTCAGCTTGGATCAGTTGCACTCCTGCACTCACTTCAGAAGGTTGTGGGTTCAATCCCACATTGAGTTTGAGCTTATTGTCTAAACTGATCCTCCAATCCAGTGCTGGAGGGGCCACTGAATTGATGCAGTTGCCGTCCTTCAGATGAGATGCTAAACTGAGGCTCAGATGGACATGAAAGATCCAGGACATTATTTGAAAAGCGATGAGTTTTTCCCAGTTTCCTGGCCAACAATCCTTCAGATAAATTGACGTTCACTTCATGGCTGTTTGTGGGATACCGCGGAGTGCAAATTGCCTGTTGTGTTTACAAATCCACAATCAATACACTTGACAGCAAATCCCTGTGAAGTGCTTTGAGATATTTTGATGTAAGAGGCGCTATAATAAATGCAAAGGTTGTTATTTTTTAATAAAATTTCATGTGTAAATGACAGCTGTGGGAGATGCATTTTCTTGCTAATGTTTATATATTTGTAAATCAATGAACAGTGGCTCTGTCTTTAATATATTTACCTGCTGTACTGCATCTGCTTTCAGCACTGGAAGAATGCATAGCAGAATCTAGCTTCCGTCCTTCCACTGGGTATCCATTTAACAATTTTTTAGGATTCCTATTTGATGAATCACCAGAAGAGATTCTTGTCCGTTGAACTTTGCCCTGTGGATTCTTGTACACCATATCTAAGGACTTGGACCTCCTGCGTCCTGCTCTGTTATCGGTTGCAGAGAAACATTCGGGCAATGTGACAGATCTGATCGGAGCTTGGCAGTGTTGCTTGCTGCTAGCGTTCTCACTCCCTTCTTTAGTCTGTGATTTTCCACTTGCAGATTCACACTTCCTGCCTTGCTTGTCACCTGTTCTGGTATTGCATGTCCTCAAGCTTTCATTAGTGAGTGCTGACACCTCAGTTTTCTGCTCCGCACTTTCCTCAGTGATTGACTCCTTGGAGCTGAAGCCTAGTTGCATTGGGTTCTGCAACGCCTCCATGTATGATTTCCGAAAGAGGCGTCTTGTCTCAAAATTTACAGAATCCCTTTGAGGTGTCCTTCGTGGGCAAGGGCTACTTAAGTCAGTCGCAAAAGTTACCATTTTTGTGACATTCCTGCCCTCGGGGACAGGCACTGCCAGGGTATCTTTTTTCATTGTGGGGCTCTCTGCAGGCAAATCACTGGATTGAACTTGAGATGCCACAAGAGTCCCTTCAGTGCTGTTAGAATTATTTGGAGACACTGCATGATCTCCTTTGGTGACCTCACTGCTGTCTTCGGAAGACTCTCTTCCAGCATCATTTTCCAGAGACTGAACAACCTTTGGCAGAACCTTCCTGAGATCCACTTTATCTTCCGACGTCTCTGATTCTGCAGTCGGCATAATATTATCGTCTGAAGTACAATGTTCTTGGGGGTCGCTGCTTTCCAGCTTTTCAGACATCTTCTCTGTGCTGGTGCTGATGTGTATCAACTGATCATGGCCAACAGGCCCAGAGTGAAAATTATCGGGCGTGTTTTTGGGCCTGCTAACAAAAGTAGGGTTGATTATGTTCTTCCAATTCACTCTCAAAACAGCTGTGCCACTTGTCAGCAGACAGCTGTGCAGACAGCAATTCCTCTCAAGGTTTATGTTCTCCAGGAATTCCATCGTGAAGACATTCCCATACAGGCACTCGGGCACCACAACCTCCTCTATAGCCTGCCCATTTCTGGAGAGACATTTTAGCACCAGTTTTGCAGCCTGGCTCCCCTGCGGCACGATCTGGATGTAGAAGTCTCCAAACTTGAGCGGGACTCTGTGGAGCGAGGCTAACTGCACCACCACCTTCTCATGCACGCACAACGGCCAGCCTTCATGACGGAAAATAAGGCCTGCATACTTGGCCTGCAAAGGAAGAGACTGGCATGTTACTGGGTCAACATAGGTCCAACCAAGGATTGTAAAATAAGAGCTGTACAATCAAAAGGAATATATTAGATATTAACCAATGCTTGTAATTGGCTGTGTTTACTGCCCTTCACTGACCAATTCTATTCCTGGAAATCGTTCAGCAAATCATTTGTGCTCACTCTCACATTCACGAGGGACAGAAAAACAGAGTGGCACTGTTTTGATCTCTCCAGTAGCTACATTTTTAGAACAGCTTATCGCAATGTAATGTCCCAAAGTGCTTCTTCACAAGTAATTACTGTCAAATAATCCATGGCATTGCTGCTGTCTGCCTTATCCATCCTTGTAACTGACATACAACTAGTGAGAGCTCAAACCTGCAATTGTTGGATGTTAAATGACCAAATAGTGACTATCCTCCTTGAGGAGGAGGTAAGTGGGGACTCACTGGAGCTGAACTGGCTCCAAGGTGACATGTTTTCCAACAGAATGTCGAAATCAATTCAACTCTGTGTGGCACTCTCAGTAGTTTAGATCCTGAGCCAGGCCAGTTCATAGTATTTATGGAAGTATTGCTGGGCCTGGAATGGAAGTTCACTCTCTCCCTGGAGGGATGCACCCTGTTTACTTAATTCCAGAGAATATGGGAAAGAGATTGGTGAGAGTCAAGACTTGGTGTACCCAGAGTTTGCGTTCAGATACTGCTGGAGTTTAACTAATCAAAATTGCATAGTTTCTGTTGGAAATCAATGTCTGTCAAGCCTCCTGCTTCTTGTTCAGCTAGGACCACTCTACCTGTTACGACCTTGACTTGCCAGGTTAACAGGAGCCAAATGGGAAGAATACCTGCTCCAGTCTGCCTTCCAAGCCCTGTCGATGAGCCAATCTGGCTGGTCTGTCACCAGCCGTGCCCTGGAGTACTGCAGACCCATCTGGCTCAGGAACTGGACAACCGAGACCACAGAGGTTTGACTCGATTCTGACATTACGTTGCCAAGCTCTTCAGCTTGGAGCCAGCTCAGCTTCAAGGAGATGCCGTTCCCCCTACTACATCATCTCGGATACTGTATTGATTTACAAGCGATGATCATAGTGGATGCACTTTGTGGTAATGAATTAAGAGCAACCTTTAAGACGTACAATATATACAACATGAAATTGGCTAAATTACGATTTTCCTTAAAGTGTGCGAATGCCAATAAACAAGCCCATGTTGGATCGATAAGAGTAGCAGACTTGAGTGAGAGGGGAAAAAGAGGGGAGAGAGTCTCTCCTGTAATAACACTGTGATCCACCAGTATATGGCTTGTCATATCAAAGCTGACTTATCATCTAGGCTTGTTCCCCACTCCTCTGCAACCCCCTACCTCTCTGACCTCCTCTCTCCTCAAAACAGTGCCCGTTGCCTTCGTTCCTCCGGGTCTGGCTTCCTCCTTGTCCCCCGAGTCCTCCGCTCCACCCTCGGTGGCCGTGCTTTCAGCCACTATGCCCTGAGGCTCTGGAACTCCCTTTCTCACCCCCTTCGCCTCGCCCCCGCTCTTCCTATTTTCCAGTTTCTGCTGAAGACATTTCTTTTCGACCGCGCCCTTGGTCACCTTCCTCCCCATCCCCCTGGCTCAGCCCCGAGATCTGTTACTGTGAAGCGCTCTGAGACGCCGTCCAGAGTGGAGGGCGCTATATAAATCCAAGTTGTTGTTGTTGTTTAGTACCATACACAGCAGGAAAAAAATAACATTTAAATCAATATCCTTTAATATTGTGCCAATGTGCTTCTTGGATAACACTCTAAATTCATAATCCCAAATTACTCAAACTAACACTGCCAACAACTCCTACTAGTACTGTATATAGCGCAGTGTTCTCGTCCTGCACAGATTTAGTAGAACAAAGTCAACGATTATATGTTTTTTTTACGGTTCAAGTGGGAGTAGTATAAAAATTTTGCACGACATTATTACGCTCCATTGATATCCTGCTGGAAAAATAAACAGCCTGAAGTGCAGCTGCACAAATGATTTCACACGCCTACCAATGCACTTCATGAATCTCTCGGCAAAGAACAGCAGTCCGTGACTAGCCTTTCACAGTGCTGTAACAGCCCTGGTATTTGCACCTAAATGTTCATTTTAAATTCCAGCTGTTCACAGCTCTGCAGCTGCTTGTCCTACTTCCTTCCTGTAGTTCAATATTATTTTTGTGCAGAAGGTGACAAATTCTTGATCTAATGGCAACATTGAGCACCAGCGCGTGCACATGCTTTGGGTTTTACCACTTGTAGGTCTGTTGTAGCACTCGGTATCAGATCATGCCAAATAATTTTGACTCCTTCCCAGCTGTAGACTTTCAACCACTGGTTTAGTGGGATCCCAGCTTTACTGGAATTCAGTGGTCCCGAGCTGGAATAACATTTTTTAAAACCAAACAGGAATTTGCAGGTAGTAAATGGGACATAATAGGCCTGACATACATATTTGGTCAATTTTCTCCACTCTGGCAATCCTGAAGGCAGTGATTCTCATTGGCCCACCAATAATAATAATAATAACCCTTGCATTTGATATAACCCCTTACACTTCTCCACAATCAAAAGACTGAATCCACAAGCCAAAAGCCGACTGGTTTCACAAAGTTTGTCATTGGGGACGTTGTTGGGTCTGTCTACCACATATCCAGGTAATTCATACTCAAGAGTGAAATGCTTTTCATTTAGACAGCAGGTGAGTGCTAGTAAACTTGTGCCTGTGAAACTGTATCCCAACAAGTGACATTGATTTCAGGTGTGACTCAGGGGGAAAAGTGACCAAATAAATCATTCAAGCTTGTCAAGTCTCATTTACCGCCTGTAAATTACTGCTTCATGTGGAAAAAACGTAACCCCAGCTCTATGCATTTTAATGAGATTGCAGGCTGTAGCGCCTATGAATTGGCAATTATAAATCATTATGAGATTGCGGTCTATTGCACGCAGGATGCATCTCTCCGGGGAGAGAGTGCACAATCCATTCCAGGTTCAGGGAAATTCCCATACGTGGTTGCAATACACATGTGGAACTTTCAGTCTGGAGGAATACTCTTAAGCATAATGATGGGTTTCTGCATGTATCAGACACCTAGCTGACCAAAAAGCAGTTAATAATAATAAATAATAATCTTTGCAGTTGACATAGCGCTTTTCACGGCTTCTAGATGTCTCAAAGCACTTCACAGAATATATTGTGAATTGACCGTATATTTGTGGGCGAAACGCGGCAGCCAATTGCGCACAGCAGTGTCCCACAAACAGTCACGACTGAGTGAGCAAATAATTTTTTTTCCTTGAGGGATTATTATCGGGCATGTGGAGAAAGGAAACTTTCACAAGGTTTCGCCCTGCCGGGAATCAAATCCAGGTCTCGCGTTTGCATGGCGAGTGCTCTAACCACTGAGCTACAGGACTTCATGGCACTGTTTTTCTCAGAACATTTCACTGTTTCCATTAGGCTGACCTTGACAACACTGTACATGTCAACACTCAAGAATTTCTACCACTTTGTATTCGATATTCTAAAGCAGGCTTATTTTCAACAAAAGTCCTCCACGTCAAAAATGATAGGCTGTGCTCTCTAAAGAATTGAATCAAAAATATGGCAGGCTCTATGTAGGGTTACCAATCCTCCAGGTTTTATCCTGGAGTCTCAAGACTTTTCCAGACAATTCTGTGAGCGACTCAGGAGAACAAATGTAGGGAATTCTCAGAATGAATATTGAATGGTGAATCAGATTTATCCTGTTATCAGCTTCTCATTTGTTTCATACACACCTGGAGACTCTAAAATTCAGCCGGTGTTTGAAATGTCAAAGTAATGTGTGATTGCCCTCTCTCAACCATCTTATTGGGAAAAAAAGTCTACTGGTGCTGCAACTGATATTATCCAGCTACCGTAAACTCAATGCTGTCTCACTTTTACAATAGGCTCACGAGCATTCACTGTATTTTGCAATTTCAAAAGGAACAGAACCATTTTTCAAAATGGATGAGTGGACATTGACCCCATTTCTGTGGATGATATCACCAAGAGGGAGCATATAAATAAGGAAAAAAAGGGATCAAGGATGGAGCCTTAGGGTACCCTGTAGGTGACTGGGCGCGAGTTGGAGGAGGAGGAAAAAAAAAGGTTTGTTGAATTGTATTGTTGGCGGTTTGTTAAGTAGAACTCGAACCATGCAAGCGCAGTCCCACTGAGGTGGATGAAGGAGAGGCAGAGGAGGAGGATGGCGTGATTGACTGTGTCGAACGTGATGGAGAGGTCCAGGAAAACAAGGAGGCAGAGAGAGAGAGAGGACAACATTCGTTACATGGCTGAGTGCTGTCTCTGTGCTGTTGGCAGGGCGAAAACCAGACTGGAAGGGTTCGAGTAGGGAGTGGAGGGAGAGGTGTGAGAAAAGTTGATTTGCAATGACGCATTCCAAAACTTTGGCCAGGAAGGGCAGGTGTGAGATGGGACTGACGTTTGTGAAGTTGTAGGGAGCGAGGATAGGTTTTTTTTAGGAGACGAATGATGACAGAGGTTTTGAGGGGGAGTGGATGAGAGCCTGAGGAGAGGAACCGGTTGATTGTGTCAGCAAGCAGAGAACTGGCATTTCGAAATCTCTGCATTTCACATAAAATACTGTGGCCCATTAAGAATGTATCTGCTCCCGTCTCCCATTTTAAAAAATATTTCTTACATTTATACATCATCTTTAATGTCACAAGTCTGTCTCAAAGCACTTCACAGGATATACTATAGAGGATGCTAACTGTTTGTATTGTAAGCAAATACGGCAGCCAATTTGCACACAGCAATGCCCCACAAATTTCCTACTTTGAAAAGCTGCTTCCTTATCTACTGAGATAACACAACTTACCAGGATAACTTGTGCAATGCTGGTTTTACATGACACACTTTGCAGTCTCGAGTCATGGGAACAGGACCCCTGAAAGCAGCTCAGAGGCCGAGTCTACCGTTAGGAAA